CTGTGGGTGGGTGGGTGGGTGGGTGGGTGGGTGGGTGGTGGAGCGCCCTGCTTATAACATTCTGAAGAAAACGGCTGCCTGGCCAGAGCCAGCGTGGCGTCGTGGTTAAGAGTGTGGGACTGGGACTCAGGCGATCCGGGTTCGAGACCCTGCTCAGCCATGGAGCCCACTGGGTGACTTTGGGCCAGTCACAGACTCTCAGCCCAACCTACCTCACAGGGTTGTTGTTGTGGGGATAAGATGGAGGGGGAGAATGATGTCAGCTGCCTTGAGCCCTTTGTGATGAATATTGTCTTGGTGTGTCTCAGAGGCATTGAGAGATCAGCTTAGAAGGGTCTAATTCCTGTAAAACCAGGCTGAGCTCATGTCCATCACAACACCCAGTGGCAGGGAGTCCCTTAGGCTAATGATGTGCAGTGTGCAAAAGCCCTTCCTTTTTGATATTCCCTGAATCGCCCATGCAGACTTGGACGACTCCAAGCGCAAGATGGAGAGCCAGTGTGGTGGAGTGGTGAAGAGCGTGGGACTGGGACTCAGGCGATCCGGGTTCGAGTCCCCGCTCAGCCAGGGAGCCAGCCAACTGGGTGACTTTGGGCCAGTCACAGACTCTCAGCCCAACCTACCTCACAGGGTTGTTGTTGTGAGGATAAGATGGAGGAGGAGAATGATGTCAGCTGCCTTGAGCCCTTTGTAGGAAAAAGGCAGGATAGAAATCAAAAAATAAAATAAAAAATAAATAAAATAAATGAACAAGACGTTAGGATGTAGTTTAGTCGCTACAGTCTGCCGCAGGTCGCACAGGCATGTCCACAAAGGGGAGCTCTCCGGTTGCCCCCTTGGGTGCTTCTGCCTGTTTCTCACTGCTCTTCCTTCTCCCCCAGAGCTCAAGCAGGTGGAGATCACACAGGCTTACCTGGCCAGGCAGACAGATGAAATTTCTCTCCAGCAGGCTGACGTGGTCCTGGTGCTGGCCATGGAGGATGGTGAGTGTGCTTTGGGGAAGGCTCTTGCCAGGTGTGTGGAGGAGGGATTGCGGGGACCAAATCTGCATGGAGTCCCTGCAAAGGGCTGGGGTGAGGCAGGCCCAAAGCCCCACTCCAATTCCACCTCAAGCTCACGTATTTTTCATGGGCAAGGCACTCAGTTGGAGGTCTGGCCTCGTGTCTTCCAAATCTGGCAGGACAATTTTATCCTGGGTTGCCAAGAAGGCCTGTGCCCTCGTTTTGCACCATATCCTGAGTGGTCCCAGAATAGCACTTTGAAAGGAATGTCCTTTCCCTGGCTTTTTTTTTTTGGGGGGGGGAAGACTCAGAAATGCCCAATTGTGGCAACGAGTTTTTTTTCTTTTTGATGGGGGGTGTCAGGTGAATAAGATACCCCCATGCACAAAATCAGGCGAAGACGAATGCTTAAGGAATAGCCATCCCTGCAAAATTGTAGCTGAAATTAGCTGTTGTCATCCTCAGAGTTTTTTAGTCTCAGATTCAAGGGCTTTTCTGCAGAGAGAAGCATCTTTGCTTTTCTGGATAAACTTGTTCATCTTTCCTTCCCCCATCCTCATGCCTTCTCCCATTCCCAAACACGTCTCTCCGTGGATAGTCTGATGGCGCACGAAATTCCTGCCATCTGCCTGCCCGCTTAAGCTGCCTTCTTCCTACCCCTAGGCTGGTACTTAGGAGAGCGTCTGCGTGATGGGGAGAAGGGCTGGTTCCCGCAGTCGTGCGCCCAGGAGATCACCAACCACAACGCTGTGAAGCGCAACGTCCAGCGGATGAAACGGCTGCGCATAGAAACGGATGTGTAAGCTGGGCCATGCCGAATATGCCTTCTCTTTGCATATGGAGCCGTCCATGGGGCCAGGTCTAGGGTTTCTCCTGGTTTGAACACGAAGCCCCTTTCCCTTTTGTAGGATCTGGCTTGCAGTGATGAAATGAGCGCCCGTCCAGCAAAGATGCACTGCACACCCATGTGTGTCTGTGTGTCGGAAATGGCGACTAACTCTCCCTAAAAGGACCATGCAAGCAGCATTCACATCATCTGGGGTGGGGGGGCTGCTCCCCCTGCACCCAAAAAACCTAAATCACCACTGGGGGTCTGAATTCAGTTTTCAGTACTTTGGAACCAGCTCCCCAAAAAGGTTTGCCTGCCCCCTTCTCTGTACCCCTTCCTGTGCCAGCCAAAGTCCTTTTTAATGTACCCGATATTTTAATAGTTCAAGTAATTTTAAGAGATTTCATGGTATTTATCGTCTTTCAATGCTATTGTGCCTTTGATTTAAATGAACTGAGGTCATTGTGCAGTTTTATGGGGGGATTATTATTGTTATTTTACTGTTGTTGTACATATACTTAATTTTATTCCTTTTACGCTGTATGTTGTTATATATTTTTGATCCCCAAAAAGTCATTTTGGGTAATGGATAGGATAGAAATTGCATAAATGAATGTAAACCTTATGCATCCTCTTTCTTTCTCTCCTTTTTAGATGAAGCTGCACCTCTCTGCCCCTGGACATTTTCTTGTGTGCAGGGGTGGACACGAACCTGTGCTCGTAAGCACAGCTGGTCCATGATGGAATCAACCAGCGACCCCATCCATGATGCCTTTGTCTGGAAGTGCCGTTTCCCAGAAGCACACCACAGAGGGTCTGATCCAGAAAAGTTCCATTAGCGATAGGATTATAAGACCTCGCCAACAATCGGATTGCCAACACTTCCTTCTTCGTACATATATAGAGTAAGGATGGAAGGAGCAACCAGAAATCCCTGCCAAAACGCTGTTGTTGAAGGTCACAGAGCAATGCTTGTGCAGCAAGAGAGACCGTAGGTGGTTCTTGTGTTCTTTTCTACGGATGGTGTGATTATTGGGAAATGCTGGGTTTGCTACAAGCTGTAGCGGAGTGTCAGAAAGGCCAGCAGGATCGGATCGTGGCCATGCTTGCTCCATGTGATTCAACAGGCCATCATAGGGTAGATTCCCAATCTTGGGGACCTGTGAAGTCAATAGGACTAGATCCGCTGGCTGCAGAATTGCCACAATCGCTGAAGAACGGCTAGTAGTTTGAAAAACCGGGCCTATTCCCCGCTTTGTCTGGGCGGGAGCCCTGGCCACTGGAATTCCTCCTACGCCGCATTAGATGGTGGGGATACAGTGGTGAATCTAAAGAGTAACACGGCCAGTCACTGTGAATGCTGCTACCTCTGAGTCAACCTTTAGGGGTCTTCTGCTGAGCAGACCCCGGACTTCTGTCTCAAAGTTCTACATCAACATAATCACAGGGTCTTTTTGGGTTTTCTGCCTCATAACAAAAGGGTCCAGCACCTAGTACCAAGTAAGTCTTTTTGGCTATTATGCCCAAGGAGAGCAGCAATTTTTAAAAATCAAAGTACCACATTTTTAAGATATACCAGTATAGCTTTTTGAACTATGGGGAGTTTATATAAACACCCCATAGTTCGAAAGCCTGAACTGGTATATTTTAAAATATGGTGTTCCCAGTTTGATCTTTCATTTGATTCCTTGATGCTCTTCACCTCTGCCCTTGATCTTTTCCTAGACCGATGCTATTCCTAAGTGTTTTTTAAATCTCTGCCACCCCTTTTAGTGCTGTATTTAGTTCTGTTTCTAGCTCCCCCACTGTTTTTACTCAAATCTCTGCTTCTTTATGCAATGTACTTTGCAAGTGTTGAAGAGCAGTTTTAAATACGTCTGAAACGCCAATTCGTTTGCCAAAATGCCTCTTAAGACCATTTTGTCTGTACTGCCAGGAAGGAACTTTGAAAACAAGCTGCATGTGTATACTGTTGTATGTGCATACATCAAATATTAAAGATTATTATTAGGGTTAAAGGGGTATGATCTAAGGAAGTTGCTTTAGGACAGGAATGGGGTATTTTCCATACTTCTCCAAGGATTTTGACCAACTAATTACTTTAAACAATAGCAGCTACAAACTGACTCCTTCCCACAAACTAAATTATAGTGCTGAAATCAAGAAAGATTGAGATAAGTAGGAAAATATTTTTGTGTGGAAGAACTGGAGTTTTTGCACCTCCAACAAATTCAGAAGTCTCAGTATTCTTCAGTGTCTTTTGTACCAGGTTCCAGTTGATGAATCCTGGAGTTCTAGTAAAAGGAAAAGAAGAGCCCAAAAATTCTGCAAGCCTCAAGTCTATCTTTCACTAGTGATTTTGGATTTGTAGAAAATGTATTCAAACATTTTTTTTAAAAAATCTCTCTTCCACACCCATAATTTACAGCACATTTGCAACTCAATGCTTTTCTGTTTTGTTTTGGTTTGGTTTTTAGATGTACCATGTGGGGTGATGGGAGTATGCGAGAACCACAAGGTCCTTCTCTCTTGCTCCAAATACTTTACCTGGTTGTTTAGCTTGGGGTCGGGCTTAGTAGGAACTCATTTAGCTTTATGAATCTCCAGCTCACATGGCCTGATGCACTCTTCTTACCTTCTCTGCCTCGCTTCCAATCTGAAAGCGCTCTATAATGTGGTCATGAACTACTGTAAATCATCCAGAAAGCTGTTGGCTGCTGGGTCACACAGAAATTAACATACTACAGACCTGATGGCCATAATTTAGAGCATAAAATAATTTCATAATACAGACTTTGCTTAGGATACAATTCTCTTGATGGCCCTAAAATGAAAACCTTTACTTCAGGCACCCAGCACAACCCCTTTTTCATTCTCCCTGACTTGTAAACTGGATTATGTGTAAGATTTCCACACTCCACTGGGATGTGTATTCAAATCTTTTACCGATGCATGCCTTAAGATTTTGCTGATTGTAAAATAAAAATTTTGTGTGAATGTTCTAGCTGTAATCCTTACAAAGTTGGTGTGAGGTAAGTGTGTACAACTCACCTGACAGAGAAACGTAGGCTAAGAAAGAGAAGCTTAGTTATGAGATCAGGTGTGGCTGCGGCAGCACTTTCCAAAATTCCGGTTTTTCCAGGAATGGACTGATGGCTCCCCCTGAGCTTGAGAGGACATTTAGATCCAGGTATCGTTGCAGGTATAGCGCCAGGTATTGCAGTTGCAACAAAGGGGAGAGAAGCACATCAGTATCTGACCAGGTGCCCTGCAAAACTTTCTCTTAAAACCCCCCATTTTAAATTTTGCATTTCTTTTGGACATCATACGGTTATTCCCTATCGGTCAAATTGTACCCACTGAGCACAAACTAGCAAGCAAGTATATACAAATATATTTTGATAGCACCAAGGTAACACTTTCTAATGTTAGTTCTTTCTGGGCCTGTGAGAAGTGTAAAAATTAGCATTCGATAAACTGGCGTCAGTTGGTTAAGTGGCTGGGAGAGGGCACATACATTCCCAGTCAGTCAGTAATATGGCCAGCATGACCCAATTTACCCATAGTCTTGCGACACTCCCATTCAACTCAATGGGATTGAGTTGAGGGCAGGTACCACCCGCACACATTCACACGTGTGTGTAGCTATGTGCTTTACGCTAACATGGATATGGCTATTGCTATCCCAGATTAATCCCAGAATGCATCATTCCCAAAGAAATCATGCAGAACTGTGGATTTCTTCTTTCCAGTGTTGCAAGGAGGCTTTTTGGGGATGTCCTACAGGACAGTTAAGGCTTCTCTTCATGGGAAGACCACGAATTTGCAGGCCCTGGAGAGTCCAAGCGAGAGCTGGCGTGCAGGACAATCGATCCTTGCTCGTGATCAAGTCAAGTCTGTCTTTGCGAATTTAAAGATGAGCAAGTGGTCCCTGGATCAAATCAAGATGGCACTTTCTCTAGTAGAACTGGCCAGACTGAGGCTGTCCTACTTTGGAAACATCATGAGCAGGCAAGACTCCCCGGAGAAGACCATCATGGTAGAGAGAGTAGAGGCAGAAGACAAAGGGAAGCATGAGCATAAGCTGGGTCAATTTCACCCAATCACACCCTTGACCTTGGAAGAGCTGAATGGAGCTGTCCTAGGCAGGGCCCACTGGCGGAATTTCTTAGGGTCGCCATAGGTCGGAGATGATGGCACATCGCAACCACCAAGTCTGTCCTCAGATATACAGGCGTTGCAGCTTCATCCATGTGTGGAGACAACCCTGGTGGAATTCTGGTTCAAAGTCTGAGATGGAACAACTGGAAGAAGCAGTCATAGTTAAGGTCAGCCACTAAAGATCCACTGCTTGTTCTACAGACTTAGCACCATAACTGGAAATAACCATGTTCCGTTTCTCTGCAGCACAGACTCCGATGCTCTCCTAGAAGTTATGGCACAGTGCAAGCAAGACTCCTTGCCAGCTAATCTTCAGTCTCACCCCAACCCTGCCTTCCGTTCAGACTTGGACTTTCCCCATTCTGAATGGAATGCAGGTACTTCTCACACTAAAGACCTCATGAAAAGCTGTTCCAGACTGCAGGAATTACTGCCACGATGCATTCACGCCTCGAGCTTCACAAGCAATTTGTCAGGAAATAATTATTCTCAGGGTGAAAGGCACTAGTAATAGACTGGGAGTCCCAAAACTGGTGAGTGTCAGCCACCAAGTTCTGGGTGGGTTGCAGTGGTCCATGAACTTCATGTGCTAAGAAAGCCTCTGAGCATATGGCCAGTCCAGAGGGAGAGTGCCGGGAAATGCCGTGACAGTGGCGACTCTCTCACTTTTCCTTCATGCCGGCTGGGGCAAGAAAGGGGCACACAGAAAGGATGTTCAGGAGAGCCTGCAGGCTACATTGCCATCCTTGATTTAATCACTAGATGGCGCTACAAGATTAATAGTGACAGCTCCTGGAATTAGCTCTTAAAATCATTTAAGAGTAGAGCCAGAAGGGGCCAAAGGGCCAGCGAATCAACCCCCTGCCAGAGCAGGACTTCAGAGTCAAGGATGGCTGTCCGGCTGCCTCTTGAAAGCCTCCAGTGTGGGGGAGCCCATGACCACCATTGGTCTAACAGGAAGTTTCTCCTGCTGTCCAGCTGGAATCTGGCTTCCTGTAGCTTAAGGGCATCAGTCCATGTCCTGTGCTCCACTCTGGGAAGACTGAGAAGAGATCCCAACCCTCCTGTAGGGGAGAATGTATCAAGGCCTCGAAGAGAGCTCTCCTCCCTCCCCTCCGCCTTCTCTTCCCAAGCTAAGCAGACTGTACCACACGCTTGCACTGTGAAAGTCCCTAGGCCAGTTCCCAGCATCTCTCCATCCAGCTGCCTGAAAGGAGCCACTGTCCCTCACACTGTCCAACAACACTCAGACAAAGAGCTTGACTCCGCACATGTCCGATTCCCAGGCTCCCTGTCCAGAGCCAGGTGGCCTCCTCCAGGAAGCAGCTACTCACCTGTTTCGCACCGTTGGCCCCCGTAGCCAGGCTTGCACCGGCAGGCCCCGTCCTCTTTGTCGCAGTCCCGGCTGTTGGGCTGCACGCACTGGCATTCCCCTGAGCACCCGGGGCCGTAGGCCCATTTGGGACAAGCTGCCGTGGGGTGGAGGAAGGAGAAACAGAAGGGAAGGTAAAAGGACTGAGCAGAGGCATGTGCTACGAAGTGAGGGGAAGGCGGTCTGCCCAGCATCCCCAGCAGAAGTGCCTTACCCAGGTGGCAGTATCGGCCGTACAAGCCTGGATCACAGAGGCAGGCTCCGTAGTGCTTGTGGCAGTGGCCCCGGTGGGCACATCTGCATTTCTTTCTGCAGTGCTTCCCAAAAAATCCTCTTGGGCAGCCTGAAAAAAACAGCAAACAAAGGGGCTTGTCTTCTGGAAGGTCAAAACAGGCAAGTCCCGATTTCAGAATTCCTGGCAGAGATATAAATACTGCGCAGCCACTTCATTATTCAGCATCAAGTCCCTTTGATTGATATGTATAAATATATATAAAACATGTTATTTATATATATTTATTTGTTGCAATAAATACTTGTCCCCAAAGTTTGGCGCTCTCGTCCAAGCAACTTGTAAGTCCTTTGTACCAGCCTGCATAAAATATCTCGCAAAACCTAAATGGAATCCAAATCTATATTTCTCATAAGCTACAGGTTTCCAAAAGAAACATATGAGATAATATATATTTCTATATGGAGCTTGAAAGACATCCACGCTGTAACTTTTTACTGACTTTTGAGTTTGTTGTTATAGTCTGCATGTACGAGAAATCTGCTTCAGCTAGCTTTCCTCCAAATTTAGAGTTTGCACATTCCAGATCAAATATGGACTCGGGCACAACCTGAAGCCAAAGTCTGCCCCCCCCCCCCCACACTGCCCCCCCCACCCCCCCCCCAAAATGTGCATACATTTAAGCAAATACACATAAGCATTTGTACTTTTGAAAAATGCACACATCAACAGGAGAAGAATGTGTACATTTTGAAGATGCAAAAAGAAAAGCTAGGTTTGCAATCCGATATGGACTCAACTTGGAATGAGCTTTGGGATGGAATTTGGAGAATTTCCTTGAGCTCAGATTCTGCTGGTTCAGATACCCCTGTGTTAAACTGACATGGGCTGCTCATGTTTCCACCTTAAAAGTCAGGAAAAGCTGGTTTAACTAAGAAGTTTGAAGGCAAGACAATCAACTGTTCGTACATTCTGCTTATGCAGTAAATGAGCAAACATTAACTATTTGGGAAAGTAAATAAAGCAAAAAGCATCAAAGCTAAAACACTTCAAAGCAGTAGATGCATTAAGCTGGGACTTAGAATCCAATGTCATGTATGGAACCAGCAGAAATAAGGTGCTGAGCCAAGCTGACAAGGATGTGAAATAAAAAATAGCTGCCCCAAATTTTAGCTGGGAATTCTGGAAAAATAATAGTTGTGTTGAACTTGAGTTCTGTTCTTTGCAACATCAACATATAACATTTACGATGCTGTTTATATAACAACATCAACATTTATGTAAGCCGTCCTGAGACTTTTGCAATAGGATGGCCTATAAATATCACAAACAAACAAACAAAACCAGGTCATAAGAAATCATGCCAGTACAAAAGGGAAAGCCGAGAGATTTCAGAAGCAGCGAGAGGTTGGAGACAGAAAGACCTCTGTCCTTATCTTGTCTTCATTTGCTATAACTCAGAGGTGTCAAGAAGGTAAGATAAATTGAACCTTTTTTTAAGGCAGGCTCCTAAAGCAATCAGCAAAAGCTTTCTGAAAAAGCATTTCTTGTCCCAACATCTTTGTATGTGATATAGGGTTGATGCTCTTATATCCTATCCTATAGTTATGAATGTTTTGAAGAGGAAGGTGGAAAAACACACCTGATCTCTGATGGCTGTTATAGAACTTCTGTCCGTCAGGTACCAGAAGAAAGTAGCTCTGAGTTACTTGCCCTCAAGGAATGAAATGTTGGCACCTGATCCCTGACCAAACTGCAAAGTCCCATCCCGTAAAATCCCTAGACAAAGACAAATTTGTTACACCCTCCTAAGCAGCTGTTCTTTCTCTCTCAGTCTGCACCCTCCAACAGTCCTCACCAGACTTCGTCTAATTCTGAGCAAGTCTCTTCCATCCACATCACGCTCTCTCACCACTACACCTAAATCCCAGGTAGAAACGAAGCAGCTGAGCAATAACAGTTCTCCATCCCTGCACAGGACACCACAGGGCAGTGCCAAGTCTCAGCCTTACTGTCTTCGCACTGGGTTCCACTGGCTCCAGGTGGGCAGCGGCATGCCCCCGTCACCAGGTCGCAGGTACCTCCATTCTGGCAGCGACAGGTGGAGCTGCAATTCCGGCCAAATGTGCCTTCTGGACAGGCTATAAACAAAAACAGGAGAAGCAGAAAAACAAGCCTCTTGAAATAGATGTGAAAGGATCGACTGTTTTGGAACTCATGGGACCAGGCATGGTCATTCTGGATTTGGTATTTTCCAGGCTTACATCTGAAATCAGCTAGTCCAGGAAAATAAAGGATTAAGAATGACCAGGTCCCTGAGATTTGATGATCCTGAAAGGAACAGTGCAAATTAATCGGCATGGAACTGGGACTCTGCTGATCTAGGTTCTGCTTGCACCGTGCATCCTTCCTTTGGCACAAGATTTAAAGGTTTAATAAACAATGGTTATTAAAGCTTATTTAAAGTTTTGTTTTCAGGAAAAATTGCAACTGTGAAAGTTAATTATGGTTTAGCAGAACAACTATCCTTAGGCCAAGGTACTAGACAAGGGTGCCCTCGCTCCCCAATATTATTTGCTTTAGTTATAGAATATTAGCAAATAGTATTAAATTGATGATGCTATAAAAGGTATCAGATTTAGAAATAAAATTAAGATACATTTATTTGCTGATGATATGTTAGGACCCACAATAAAGGACCCACCTAAATTTATGGTTGTGGTTAAAATTCACTTGGGAGCATTTGGAGACAACAGATAATTGGGATAAATCCAAAATGATGCTGTTTAATGGCAATAATGAAGGAGGGAATTAAGAACACATTTCAGATTAAGATACGCAAAAGTATTAAATACTTAGGTATAAACATTTCAGACCTAATGAAAATTATATTTATCGCTCTGTACATCAGTTTCATGATTGGTTTAAGAAAGATGCAGGTAAATCAGAAAGGGTCCAATAGAGGGCAAAAAAAAAGGATCCAGGGTTTGGAAACACTGCCCTGTGAGAAGGGACTGAGGGAACTGGGTGTGTTCAGCCTTGAGAAGAGAAGGCTGAGGGGGAACATGAGATCCCTCTGTAAGTGCCTCAAAGGCTGTCACAAAGAGGAAGGTCAAGATCTCGTCTCGCTGATGCCAGAGTGCAGGACACGGAATAATCAGTTCAAGTTGTTACAACCCAGATTCAGGCTGGACATCAGGAAAAGCTTCCTCACTGTCGGAGCAATAAGGCAGTGGAACCAGCTGCCTGGAGAGGTGGGGGCTCTCCCACACTGGAGGCATTCAAGGTGAAGCTGGACAGCCACCTGAGTGGGATGGTGTGAATTGGTGTCCTGCCACGGCAGGGGGGTTGGACTAGATGGCCTTCCTGGCCCCTTCCAACTCCACTGTTCTATGATTCTAAGAACAAAAACCTCCTGGCCCTGGGAAACTAGACCAGAGTCCAGGGAGCTGAGTCCAGGGAATCCAACAGCTTCCCATCTCCAAAACAGATTCCTCGCCCATCCCTCGCTGTAACACATGGCCAAGACCTTTGCTGGGAACCCGCCTCTTCCCCCAAGCTCACTTTGGTTGCAGAGGATTCCAGTCCACCCAGCTGGGCAGTCACAGCCCGTCCGGTCCTCAGTGCAGGCCCCTCCGTTCAGGCACTGCCCACATGTCAAACTGCAGTCGTCGCCAAACGTGCCGTCCAAGCAGACTAGCGGGGGGAAGGAAAATGTTACTGAGTGAAATACTAAGACAAAATTCAATGAATTGTCACGAGAATCAGGCTCATGTAGTACCACACACTGGGGGTGAGAGTTTCCCAAATGTTTTACATCACCATAAAAGCTGTAGCTATCCATTTCTTCTTCAAGGACAGATTTAAACTGGTCTTGTTGGCTTGGTTGCTATAATCTTGCACTCTGAATATTACTGCGTTCATCAAACCCTTCTTAACACTAGAAGTGTGACCGCAAGATCTGAGTTAGTGCTTTGGAAAGCAAACGGATTCAGTTTGCCATGATGCAGAAGCCTTCAGCTTCCACTTGGGTACCAACCCAGGCTGGAATTCCAAAATCTGAGTCCTTGGGCTTCCCTTTGGCTACCATGGGAAAGTCAATGGCTAGAACAGACATTTTAATGAGAGAAATATCAAAGACAGAAATGCTCCAAGGTTTGCTGAGGTACCAAAATTGCAACCCAGCCCTGAAATAGGTTTTCTGGGGTATGAGCATGTGGAACACCCAAAGAATACAGGGCAGAGGAGACAAGCTGGGAGCCTCTCGGTTTTGGGCCTACAACTCCCATCAGCCCTAGCTAGTCACCAAAGCCAATGGCGAAGGATCAAGGAAGTTGTAGGGTACAGGGATGGCTGGTAAACAAAAACCGATGTGGGGCAAGGACAGACTGGCATGGGGGGGTGTCATCTGAGCAGGAACGCTCTCTTCAGGGTGGAGAATGTGGTGCGACATTTCGTGGTGGGGCCCCGTGCGTGCTTACCGAATTTCTCCGACAGCGTGTGTTCTCCCCTCGCTTCTGCCTCGTCTTCTTCCTCCTCATGCACTCCGAGGCGCTGGAAACGCTCATCCCACACAACCGATACGTGCGGGAGAGGGTGGATCAAGTCCTGCCAGCTCTCCGGAACCCCCAGGCGGTCCTCAAGCGCTACGGAAGGAACAAACATTTCCAGAAACAGATGAAGACAAAGAGGACGGGGACGTTCTCACCTGCGACAAATCACGTGGAGTTTGCTGTCGGGGAGAAATGCTTAACTGCTGGACTGGGCAGCGGCTGCTTCCAAGGAAGCCTCCCGTTTCCTCCGCACTGGCTCCCCAGTCTTGTGCTTCACCCCACAAGGCAGAGATGGCCTGCACGCAGCCCTCAGATGCTTTGGCCTACAAGCCCCACAATCCCCCAGCACTGATGGGAGTTGTAGGGCAAAAACCTGACACCATTCACCTCGGCCATAAAAGGTACGTCCACAGGACTTCCTGCCTGCAACTGGGGAACAACCACAGGTAAGAGATGTTTTGTGATGGTCAATAGCAGCATTCCCTAACTCAGCGCCCTCCAGAATGTTTTGACTGCAGCCCCCATCACCCCGATTTTGGGGTTGCTGCTGGGGCTGATGGGCTGTGTAGTGCAAAACAGCGGGAGGGTGCCAGGTCAGGGAAGGGTGTTCTGTAATTATACTAAATTACTCTCCATCTTGAGAGGCCACAAAACTCATGCACCAAGACAACGGCTAATCGGTCTGCACTATTAAAGAACCGAATCAAAAAAGGTCAAGGAAGTGGAATTAGTGATCTAAATATCTACTCTGCTGAAATGCTATCCCCGTTTTCTGACTTCAAATTTCTTCTCCTAGGTGTTTGCTGCAGGGAATGCTCTGTTTTGAGACACAGTCGCTTTTTTTTCCTGTCTGACCCAAGCCTAGGAGCTAGGGAGGGCTATCCATCTAAAGAAGCACGCAGAGCGGGGAACATGCTGGGAAAGGCACGGCATATCGGCACTTACGAAGGCAGCTTCTTCGGTCGTCATCCAGTTTGTAGCCGGTCTGGCAGCCGCAATGGAACGATCCCATGAGGTTCTGGCACAGCTGCTGGCAGCCTCCATTATCCAAAGAACACTCGTCCACATCTTCAAAATGAAAGGGGGACAAAGTGAGGTTTTCCACCTGCGAAACTTGAGGCAACTGCCTATTGTCCTTCCAAATGTTTCCTGGCCACTAGGATAAGACATTACAAACTTGAAAAGATAGAAGTACACGTGGCCGGGAGAAAGGATGACGTAGAGCCAGTGTGGTGCAGTGGTTCAGACCATGGGACTGGGACTCAGAGGATCCGGGTTCGAGTCCCCGCTCGGCCATGGAGCCAACTGGGGGAGTTTGGGCCAGTCGCAGGCTCTCAGCCCAGCCTACCTCACAGGGTTGTTGTTGTGGGGATAAGATGGAGGAGGAGAATGATGTCAGCTGCCTTGAGCCCTTTGTAGGAAAAAGGCAGGATATAAATTGAAAAATAAAAAATAAAATAAAAAAATAGGAACGTTCACTGGGCATGCACCTGCATCGGCCGTTAAAGGACCGCTGTGGAAGCCCTGCGTTCAGACTCAGGTGCTGTGTGCGCATTGGTTACTCCAACCAGAAGCCGTTTGGGCAACCCTTCTTTCCAAAACAGTGTGGCCTCCTTGCTTGGAACAGTGATTCCAGTCCGTTAGGTTTCATCGAGCGAAGGAGATGACACCAGGCGGACCATCGAAAGTGACTTCATCTCCAAGTCAGAGGGCAACACCTCTACTTGGATGCGCAGAACTGGATTTCACTACCGAATAATTTGCAGAGTAACGCATGGTGCCCTCACTCTGTGCACGTCCTTTTTTCTGCATCCCCTTCAGCAATTCGACTGAAGCTCTCCTAGACTCTTGGGGAAGCCCCAGTGGCTGCAATATCCAGGAGTACATATTCCCAGTACAGACCAGTTGCAGCCCTATCAGGGAAGTACAGCCCTTGGCTCAGCTATTCATGAATTATTATTACATCACATTGATATCCTATTTTTCTTCTTATTGCAAAGAAGTCAAGGTGGCAAACTCGGCCTTTCTCCACCCCATTTTATCCTTCCAACAACCTGTGAGGTGGCTTGGGCTGACTGTCCAAGACTTGCTCAAAGTGAGGTCTAGAACCCGGATCACCCAGGTGCCCAGTCCCGATTTTGGCGTTCAGGTGGGAATATGTGGGATGGTCTTCAAAGATGGCCCAGAAACTTCAGCTCCCATCCAGAAGGCCTCTACTGCCGCATTGATTACCACTGTGTTTCCGAGCCAAATTACAAGTCATTTTTCTTCTTCCACACCCACCCACCTGTATTTTAAAATCAGCCAGAGCGGTCCATCTCGTTTGCTCACCTGCGAAAACATCCTATTTTTCTCTGCCTTTCCCCCGCTACGTTTCCCGTCACTGCCGCATTATTGCCATTTTCATCACTTACAATACCACGTTGGTTTGTGACTGTTTAATTCCTCTATGCTCCATGAAAAGCAACTGACAAATTTTGAATAAATCAGATGCATCCACCCCACCAGCGGCAGCTCTTGTGTTTTGCTTTGCTTAAGCCCCAGCCAAGGTTTGGATACCTGCAGCACCGTTCCACTCGGGAGCAAGCGGAAGAGCCAGGCTTCTCAGCCCAAACTGCAGCCTGGAATCCCCCCAGGAGCAGTGCTTGGCACCCACTGCTTTTGCAGGGGGCACTGTAAAAGTCCTCCCGCTCCAGCCTGCTTCGTTTTCTCTTCCTGATCTCGGAGACATATCCGAAGAAAGCAGCACGTGGACACGGAGCATTTCCACCCATCCTCCAGCTCCCGGCTCTGCCGGGACACCGAGATGGATGCTGGCAGGCCAGGACAACCTCCTTGCTTCCACCGTGGCAGCCCAGCTGGGCCTTTCCACCTACCGCTGCAATTGCATCCGTCGGCCTGGAGCCGATAACCAGCATAGCACACACACTCATAGCCCCCTGGGTAGTTGTAGCACTCCTGCTGGCAGCAATGCGAGCCTGTGATGCATTCTTCCGTATCTAGGGAAGGAAGGAAGGAAGGAAGGAAGGAAGGAAGGAAGGAAGGAAGGAAGGAAGGGAAGAGAGAACAGGGTCAGGTGGCATTCTCAGGCCAGGTGCCTGCAGAAAAACCAGCCCATGCGAGAAGATCTATAGGCTTGTCCACCCTGCCCTTCTGCCTCTGAATGACTGCACGTTCCATAAAATTAAAGCCAATGGCTTGCCACGTCTCAGGGGTTTTCTCCAGGCTCCCCAAGGGATTGAGGATGGGCACAGAATGCTGCTGTGTCTGGCCATCTGTCAGACCCTGGGGAATTTTGATCAAGGTGCATTCTTGAAATCCTCAAGGAGTTTTAACGGGTAGCAGAAACCTGTTGACCTAACTCACAGGATGTGACAATATATATATACACACACACATACACATCCTGGGGAGCGCACTGACCAGGTATGCGAAAGCTCAGACGATTCGCGGCTAATGAGTCACACGTCCTGCCATCATGGCCTGGCCAGGCTACTCCGCACCCACACGCCTCCCTGTGTGCCGTTAACTGGTGCTTGGCGACAGGGACGACTTGACTTGCGTGTCAACATAGAGGGCTCTGCGTGCCCGCTGTGGCAATCATGCCACAGGTTCACCACCACGTCCCTGACCCTGCACTTGAGTTGCTTTTTCTGCACTTCCCATCCATCCTGCCCATTCTAAACATATTCCAACCATCAAAATCATGACAGGACGCCTTGTTTTTCCAACCCTAACCCTACCCTGGTGCACTCCCCTAACCCTAATACAGGGCAAAAATGGCATAGGAAAGACGTCGATTTCTAAAAAGCATTCCTTGATCAGCTTTTTCTGCACTTCTCATGCTTTCTGCCCATTCTAAACGCACTCCAACGATCAAAATCATGCCAGGACACCTCGTTTTTCCAACCCTAACCCTACCCTGGTGCACTCCCCTAACCCTAATACAGGGCAAAACTAGCTTAGGAAAGACGTTCATTTCTAAAAAGCATTCCTTGAGTAGCGTTTTCTGCACTTCTCATCCTTCCTGCCCATTCTAAACACACTCCAAGCATCAAAATCATGCCTGGACACCTCGTTTTTCCAACCCTAACCCTACCCTGGTGCACTCCCCTCACACTAATACAGGGCAAAAATAACTTAGAAAAGTGGGCGATTCTATAAAAGCATTCCTTGAGAACCTTTTTCTGCACAGCTCATCCTTCCTGCCCATTCTAAACACATTCCAACCATCAAAATCATGCCAGGACACCTCGTTTTTCCAACCCTAACCGTACCCTGGTGCACTCCCCTAAGCTTAGTATAGGGCGAAACTTCCAGTGAAAAGAGGGCAATTTTGAAAAACCCTTTCTTGAGTAGGTTTTTCTTTACTGCTCTTCCTTTCTGCCCATTCGAAACACACTCCAACCATCAAAATCATGCCAGGGCACCTCGTTTTTCTAACCCGAACCCTTCCCTGGTGCACTCCCCTAACCCTAAAACAGGGCTAAACTTCCCGTGAAAAGAGGGCGATTTCTAAAAACCCTTCCTTGAGGAGCTTTTTCTGCTGAGCTCATCATTTCTGCCCTTTCTAAACATAATAAAACCTGAAAACTGCGTATTTAGTTTAGGAAAAACCCCTCATAGTCTGTCCAAGCAACACACACACACACACACACACACACTTGGCAGTGCACTGACCGGTCATGCAAATGTCGGACGAGTCGCGGCTAACGAGTTGCAGCTCATGACGTCATCTCTGGCGCCGCTACTCCTTTCCGAGCATGCGCATGGCCCCTGTGTGCGCTGTTACCCTGTGCTCAGGTGTTGGGGTGATGCTGGGGCGACTTGGCTCACGTGCCGACAGAGGTCTCTGCGTGCCCGCGGTGGCACGTGTCCCATAGTTGCCGCCACCCTCTCAGGCGGATGGGTGCAAGACCTCCTCCTGTCCAGCTCCTCAGCAACTTCCCAATGCAGGCTGACCACCCCAGGAAAGGTGGTAGCCCATGACCAGCAAGCCGTCCGCATCGGTAGCCACTGCCCCTTCCCTTGGCAGCAAATCTATCGTTTGACTATTTACAGTGTGCAGAAGCGCATCCTTTTTTCTGTCTGAAACCTGCCACCAGTCCTGGCCTGACCCTGAATTCCAACATTGTGAAAGAGGAAGGAGAGCATTTCCTTCTCCGCATCGTGCCTCCTTTTCAACCCCTCTCTCGTGTCTCCCCCTCCTTGCCGTTTTTCTAAGCTAAACAATCCCAGCTGTTGCACCTGCTCCTCATACAGAAGCCCTTCCAACTCCTTCAGCATTTGAGCTGCCCTGCTCTGCACATTTCCCAACTGAATAATGTCCTTTTTTCAGGTAAGGCAACCAGGACTGGACAAAATATTCCAAGCACCGTGTTTCACTTTCAATTCCGTTCACAATTACAGCCAACGTGGAATGCGCTTTTTCACAGCAGCTGCCCACTGCCCCCCCATTTTCATCAAGCTGCCCTCTGCCACCCCAAAATCCCATTCTTGTTCAGCCACTGCTGGCTTAAACCCCATCAACCTGTCCCCATACCTGCAAGAGACCCACTGCATTTATTTCCAAGTATAACTAAGCCTAGATCTAACCCAGTGGTCCTAGGATTGCCACACTTCAATTAGCAGCTCATTAATTTAATTACCAATGCATGTTTTCTTGTCTTTTTCCAGGTGATATCCGAAATTACAGCTGCAGACGGGGCCAGAGCTGGTGTGGTGGCAAAGGTGTGAGCAGCCGCCATTCTTGTTCTCACAGCTGTTCACAATTTCCATTTCTATCCCTAGAAAGACAAAAACACAAACCAATATGGAGTGTTTGTCTATGCAGTCATCTATGGACTAGAAACAAGCAACGTTTTACATTCATGCAGCATCTTAAAAGCAAGAATTTGCACACCTTTAAGATCCCAGTGTTCGTTTTATTTATTTATTTTATTTATTAAAACATTTTTTAATATATGTTTTATGTAAAAGAGCTGACAAGCGAAGTTTTAAATTCAGCTCTGCATTGCCCCCAATTACTGGTGATGTATGCATATATCTAATGGATTATACCTGTCCTGCTTTTTTTTAAAAAAAAAATCTCCAACAGGCTCACAACATATAATCTAGAAATAATATAATTCAAGTTAACAGAACACATGTTTTTGTAACTATGACCTGGAGAAAAGCAGAAGCCAGGGCTGCAATCCTATATGCATTTACCTACATGCATTTACCTGGGAGTAAGTTCCACTGAATGCCCAGGATTGCATTATTAATAGCTAAACTAACAGATGTCAGAGGTGGCATGCAGAAAATAGAGAAATTCAGCAACAGCTGTTAATTCTCTTAGTTATTTCATGAAACCGAGATATGACTTAGAAAGTGTGAAATATTCAAAGCCTTGTTGTGAGCATGTGTGCAAATGCTCAGATGAAGCCAGACCTTTCGTGGTTGGAAGAAAGAGTAAGATTTAGCGTGCTTATCACAAGAAGGCGGTTTCTTTGTTTGTTTTAAAGCTTTTCTATTCCACCCTTCACCATGTCTCAGCCTGCGGTTGCACACTGAGTATCACACGCGTGCAGAAGTTTGGAGATGTGCCATGAGGAGCCACTGCAATGCATCAAATCCGCCCGTATGTCAAAGGCAATACTTTGATGGGTGTACCCGGTTCACTTGGATGGCAACCCCTGATTCCCAGTGGGCAGAAGGAGCTACAAAGTTGAAGAACCAACCAAGGAGGTTTTTGCCCCTGCCCTCTTGAGCTTGCAGCTCCACCACCACCTCAGTGGTCATCTGCTGGTGGAGATGTGCTAATGGGTTTCCTATATCCTGGCCTCTCCTCCATTCTCTGGAGGTGGCTATGAGGAGGCAGCAGGAAGGGACGGGACTGGATTCTGGAGCTCTCCTTCCAACGTGCGAGAAGCAGCCTCTTCTTCAGGTGGCAGGACATCGAAAACTCCATGGCTGTTGGGATCCTCTCCAAGAACCATGGAATCGCACTTTTGTTTAGCTTATAGCTCCCCTTTCTACCTAAAAGCTGCTCAAGATGGCTGGGACTTCTGATATTCTGGAAGGCACCAGTCCGGGGAAGGCTGGTATAAACCCACTACCTAATTTTGGTATTATAACTAAAAGATGATATTGTATCTAATAGTGCTATCTAAAGAAAAAATGCAATGCTGCTTTCAATAATTGTATGTGCATCACTGAATTTTAAAAGCTCACCTCCCTCCATAACTAGGGCCTCAACCATTTGTGGATACAGCCAGGATGTAAATTAGACAGACAAATTCCATTTAAAGCAGCATACAAATCCAACAGGATGTCTATTTGATTAGAGCAAATTAGATGGAGCAGCAGATAAAGCAGAGCAACAGTCCCGACGCAGTGGTCAGATTAAAACCAGGCTGAGTCAGTAGCAAACTGTTTCCACCCCTTCCAGCATTCCCTGAAATGCGGCCCTGGCCACAGGAGGAACCACAACTTACCAGATGTGTGACTGATCTGAGCATCATTTCGCGTCCTTTTTCCAGCAAGAAATGAACCAGAAAGGGAACTTACGGTAGCACTGCTTGCCGTCTGCTCCTATCTCGTAGCCCGGGTTACACGTGCATTTAAAGGAGCCCTGGGTGTTAATGCAATCGTGCGCACACCTAGCACTTCCTGTTGCGCATTCATTGATATCTGGATCAGGGGATAAAATTGAAAGCGGAGTTAAGATACTGTATGTACCGCGTTTCCCCAAAAATAAGACCGGGTCTTGTATTAATTTTTGCTCCAAAAGACACATTAGGGCTTATGTTCAGGTGATGTCTTATTTTTTCTTACAAAAGCCGTAAGATTCTTGCCCCAAGAGGGTTTCTTGTACTCGATGGAACAGTTCTTGCATTTTGCATCCATGCTTTAAGTATGTCTGTTACGACACATGACGTTATTCATGCGTTCATGGTCATTCGGCAAGAAGTCTAGCGTTCATCTGTTTGCATGGGCGTTTACCTCTCACCCAAAGGTGTCCATTTGCGTATTTACAAATACTTAATTATAATGCATACTATCATTTATTTTAAGTATTAATGTCAATAATGTTATTTATTTATATTTAATTATGTGTTAACATTATTATTTAATAATTCAATACATTTATTGTGTGTTGCAAGGGACATACCGTGTTTCCCCGTCCGTCCGGCTGACAAACTTAACTGGGGCTTACTTTGGGGGTAGGGCTTATATTATGAGCATCCTGAAAAATCATGCTAGGGCTGATTTTCCAGTTAGGTCTTATTTTGAGGGAAACACGGTACCTATTATTTCACAGTGTTTCTACCCCATGCTTCCTCCAGGGAAGGGCCCCTTTTTATCTGTGTGGGTGATTCTGGCATAAGGACAGTATGGTGCAGTGGTTAGAATGCTAGACTGGGACTCAGGCAATCCGGGTTCTAGACCCTGTTCAGCTATGGAGCCACCGGGGCAACTTTGGGTCAGTCGTGGACTCTTCACCCAACCCACCTTTAAACAAAGAAACAGGTGGGGTATAAATCTAATAAATAAAATAATGAGGAAACAATGACCCCCTTTGCAGCTCGAAGGCCGGGCTGTCCATCTGGAAGGAACCACATTTTCTAGGCAGTGAGTTCTATAGGAATGTCAGCCAGGAATCTATCGTCTGGTTTCCCCATAAGATCGGCCCTGTTCAGGGTGTACACTCAATGCATGTTTAGCAGGTAGGTTCCAGGCCCTGTGTTGATCCATCTTCAGACACAAAGAGTTCTGTGCAGAGGGCAGGAAACTCTGCCAGGAAAGAGACCCGATGGCTTGTGGACAAGCCGCCTGTGTGGGTGGCTCCATTCAATTAATGCATGGAGCAGAAGAGGTGGAGTCTGATCCCAGAAACCTCACCTTCTTTATCATCTGGGTGACACCGTCTTTCCCCTTCCCATCATCTTCTTCCTATTATCAACAACTCTCACCGCACTTCCAACATCCTTATAAGTACAGGTCAGGTGATCATAAGTACAGGTCAGGGGACAAGTGGCTGGAGAGCAGCACTCGTGAAAGGGACCTCGGGGTGCTGGTTGACTGCAGGCTGAACATGCGTCAGCCGTGTGATGCGGTGGCCAAGAGGGCAAACACTACCCTTGGTTGCACAGCCAGAAGTGTGGCTTCTAGATCGAGAAAGCTGTTGCTACCGCTCTGCGCAACTCTGGTGCGCCTGCAACTGGAGTATTGTGCTCAGTTTTGGGCCCCTCGTTACAGGAAGGATATAGCCAGGTTGGAGTCAGTGCAGCGCAGGGCCACAAGGTTGGTGGCCAGTTTGCAGGGAAAGCTGTATGAGGCGAGACTGAGGGAACTGGGTCTCTTCAGCCTGGAGAAGAGGAGACTCAGAGGGAATCTGTTGGCAACATACAGGTATGTGAGGGGGTGCCACACGGAGGTGGGTAGAGACCTGTTATCCTTTGCAGAGGAAGGCAGGATGTGCTCTAACAGAGCAAAGCTCAGGGAGCCAAGGTTCCATTTGGATGCCAGGAAGCCCTTCCTGACAGTCAGGACCCCGAGGGTGTGGAATGGGGTTCCACAAGAGGTGGTTGAGGCCCCATCAGTGCGGGTGTTCAAGGATAGGCTGGACATGCACATGGTGAGCATGTCATGAGTGGAACCAGCTGGAGCCGGGGGTCAGACTAGATGGCCCGGGAGACCCCTTCTGACTCGCTCTGTTTCTGTGTTATGCTTCCCCCTCTTGTACCCATATTGTTTTATCTATGCATGTACAGTTGCTGCTGGAAGCATTTCAAAACATCTTCAGAACATCAGGCAGGACTCCATCTTAGAAAAAGAACCAAGATGTTTTTGCAAGTATCCTCCGCAAACGCCCTTTCCAGACCAAGGCGAACCAACTCCCAGCAGCATCCATGGAGCTCAGGATGGGACTTAAGGAGATGGGCTTGCAATACGCTGCCTGCCTTCGCATGCTTTCTTCGTACTGGCCAGCCTGTATCCAGGGTGACCACCACAGTGGGCCACCCGCTGGAGATTCTGGCATCTGTGCATGCAGCCGCCGTTCCCGTCAGCACATGGATTTCTCACCGGGAAGGCGCAAGGGGCAGCAAGCCACCTGGAAAGGGGGTTTGACTCCCTCGGACAAACAGTCTCAGGGGGCCCCCAGGCTCTCCTCAGGTGTTACTGCCACCTGCTCTCTAGACAGGGCACGATCCAGTTCCCAAAGGGAAGGAACGACGTGTGCCACAGGGAATGCTGGGCTGCCTCTCCCAACGTTTCCACTAATCCTCCACGCAGGAAGAGCCGAAGGATCGACAACAGCAACCAGGCCAGATCAACAACGGGATCGCGAATTTTTGAGTTTAGACAAGTGGGGACAACGGATTTCCACCACTGTAATGGTTAAGTGGTGTGTTTTTTAATTATACCTGCTTTTATGTTTGTGCCATGTCTCTACGTGTTTAAGTTATTATTTATTTAGTTGTTTATTTGATTTTTGGCTATTATTTACTTTATTTTTTGCTTTTGTTGGTTGACTCAGGTGCTGGACTGTTGAAATGTATCACTATGGAAACGTATTATGATTGTTTTATGTTATTATTTTATTGCATTTGTAATCTGCTCTTATTTTTAATCTTTTAGACCATTCTGAGGGTTAAATTGACTATAGAGGACAGTATATTAAAAGCTGTATAAATAAATAATGTTTTGGTTCAGCTACCACCATCAATGTTTCTCCTAAGCAAGGCTTCCCCTGAGCTATTAAATATTCTTGTTTATTATTTCTTTTTAATCTGTTTTTAATTTTTAAGTCTTTTTTTACCGCTCTGATGTTTTAAATACCTTTTATATTGTTATTGGCATGGTTTTAGTGCTTCATTTTGATGGCTTGGAAAAAGCCTTCTTGGAAGGCAACAATGAACTGTGAGATGTATAAATTCTTAAGTGTGCAGTCCTACAGAACGCAGTCCCTTAGAGCTTGTGATAATCCTCCATCCCCACTCCTCAAACCAGCTCACAACCCAACTTCTGAGCCCATCTAGCACAATTATTAATTTATTATTTTATTTATTTAAAACTTTTATATGCCATTCCTTATGCACAGCATCTCCGGATGACTTACAATCATTAAAATCAAATACACTAAAACAATCTCTAACAATAATAGTGAATAAAAATAAATTTAGTAACAAGCGACTGTACATTACAACACTAACTTGATTGCATCTTTCCATTGCTGACACCCAATGGAAAGCAAGTTTCTGTGCTAGGCTTTCTTCACTCGACCCACGGCACTGCCCTTTCTCGTCAAACCCTTTTTGCAACACCAAAAGGGGGGACACCAGAGGCTGCAGAGGGAAGCATCACATCTCAGAGATACACACCCACAGGGCCTTCCACAGCTTTGGAAGGACAACTCCAAGACCATACCATAACGGCTTAGGGCCTGGTTACCTGAAGGATCGGCTCCTTCCGTATGTGCCTGCCCGTCCCTTAAGATCTGGGGCAGAGGCCCTTCTCCAGGAGCCCTCCTTGAAGGAGATCAGGAGGGTGACTACCTGGAGAAGGGCCTTCTCTGCGGTGGCCCCCGATTGTGGAATACGCTCCCCAGAGAGCTGTGCCAGGAGCCGTTGCTTTATTCTTTTTGGTGCCAGGCTAGAACCTTTTTATTTTCCCAGTGTTTAAGACCTGACTGTTTTAATTGGGGTTTTATTATTAGTTGAATTTTTAGGATGCTGTGTTTTAATTTTTTAATTATTTTTTTTTTACATTTTGTATTGTTAAACCATCCCAAGACTTCGGTAATGGGACAGTCTAGAAAAGAGTTAAATAAACTTATTTAAACCTATGATCAGAGACTTGTTTAGTAAAGGATGCCAGATGCCACGGAGCAAATTTCTGGGCTTGTCTTTCTGAACACCCTTCGGACATCTTCTCTCCCTAGGAAATGTCTTTGAAGGTCCCGAAACTCAGCCGTGCGCAGAAAATACCCCCAGCATCTGAACCTTGCAAATTTTCCGACTGTATATGTCAACTGCAAAGTCCAAGTGCTCTGTTTGCACTCATCCCAGTGAGTGAGTACATTCCAGCGCAGGACAAGTAATTAGAAGCAGAACTCGTTCCCTGGCAGGCCAGAGAAGCGTATGTGCCCCATATGTAGCGATGAGGGGGTTTGGCAGCAGGCGCTCAGCGTGCCTGGTTGACGTCCCAGTTCTGGGAAGGCCTGGCTCCCAGTCCTCGCCTAAGACCAGGAGCTTAGCTTGATTGCATCTGACTACAGCTTAACTGGAAAACCGCTTTCTTTTTAAGTCCTGTTCAAGGGAAGGGGAGGGGAGGGGATTTCCATCCAGAAACGCTGTCCCCAGTATAGCATTTTTAAAAGCAACCAACACTCCTGCAAGTCTCCCTTTAATTATCACCCAGTTTCCTTCAGCAGGAAACACACCGAAGATTTGTAAGTTCAGCTCCAAGCAGCACTTTCAGTTGTCAAAAGCAGTGTAGAGAAGCTGGGCGCACACAGCAAAATCCAGGCTATATGGACATTCTTTGCTGAAACGAGCTTTGCGCGTCTCTCTTTCTCATAAACACAGTGAGCGGATTTGCAAAGCAAGGCAAACGGCCATGTATAAGTAGCTACCATGCAAACCGGAACTTTTCCTTTAGGGTGGTTGCTGGTGGGATACAAACCACACTGACAACCCACAGACTGTACGAGGCGCTGTCTGGGGGCTTCCTCTCGGCCCGGCTTGCTTTGCTGGACCCGGCCAAGTAGGAGAGGGAAAACCACAAAATGCTAGAGGGGCAAATCTCAGAGCTCCATCTCAGCTCTGTTTAAGACAAGCTTATGCATCTCATGACCATCCACAGATGCGATTTAGAGATGGAAGGAGATTATGAATTGCTACAGCAGCTACTGCTGGAGATTATGGGAGAAGAAGCTTTTGCCAATGGGAAAGATCTTCCAAACATATATCATGTCCCATCCTTCCAGTCCCAACATGAAATAACACAGTGACTCAAGAATTCTGTATTCTCAGAGAAATTCTCAGGCTAAAGAGACCAAGAATGTGGACGCAACTAAACAGATAAGAGGTAATGTAGTGACTGAAGCAAATGAAAGATGAAAAGAGGTGAGGAATTAATCATGGAGGGAGAACCTGAGAGTATATAATACCTAGAAATGGAATTGTCCCATCACGTTGGAAGGGACAAAGTACTCTGAATAGATAGGGTACCTATAGAACTTTTCCAAGCTGCAGAGAGCAAATCAGTCCAAATCCTAAAAGAAACATGCCAACAAATATGGGGGAAACGGCCTAGACTGGGAGCATTCAATCTACACACCAATCCCCAAGAAAGGAGAAAGAGAACTGCAACTAAAGGACCACTGTGCTTACTTTACCCGCAACCCAACTCGTGCTCAAGGTGTGCAGCAAAAATATTACTCTGTACTACACTGGCAAGAAGGTTTTTGTGGCAGCAGGCTTGCGGGTGTTCACTTGCTGATCCAGTGCACTGGATCTCTTGGAATCCATCACTGGATAAAGCACATTTAATTCCCGAGCCTGCACTTTTGCTTCAGAGCAAAGCCTTCAATAAAAAGCTACTTCCGCAAGAGCGTCTCCAGAACGTTGGCTTCCTCTAAACCCATCTTGACGTAGCTCCCTGCACAATCCAAGACAAGTCAAGCAAACCCTTCTTTGATCAACTTCCCATGCAAGGGAAGTTGATACGAGTTGGAAGTAACAACTGCAAAACCTGGCACTGGAAAAAACCAGGGTTAATTGTGTGGAAGCAAATTAGCTTCTCGAGAGGCAAGTACAGTTAGGGCCAAGGATCACTCAACGAACCCCACAGATTAAGTTTCCGGAGAGGGGCGGAAAGAAAAAGCATTTTTTGCTGTCACAGTGAGTGCTTTGAAATCCCCGGACAATAAGGCACAGTAAAAGTTGCCACATGCTGTTTGTGATACCAAATGCCCTCTTTCCTGGTCTGCATTCGAAACAGAAAACAGAGGTAACTGATGTGCTGCTTGCCAGCTCCTTTGACACGCTGCGATGCTGATGGTTGAAGACTTCTCCCAACAATACTGTAGCATGAATAAAAGTCTCTTTGGATTGCAACTTTCTCTTCATTGGACAGGAGTTTCTTGAAATGTAAAGATTTGTTTTCCTTTCACAAATGGGAAACCCCAGTGTGTCGATCTCAGACAGAACAAAGTTGGTTTCTTGTCTTTTTGCCCTCTTACCTCTCTTCCTGTCTGGAAACGATGTAAGGCAAAGAAAGAGAGTTTTCGGCTGAGAAATATACATCCCTGTGGAATCCATGAATCTAGTCAGGGAAGCAATACCTCTGCTGTGAAATTACAACTTCAGATGTAACATAAGAGGGGAGCATTCTATTCCAAAAGTATTTAAAAGGAAGGAAAAACCCAGGCAAGAGTTCTTGTTCTCCCTGCATTTGTTGCTCATAGGTTTGATAAGTTGCCTGGAATGTGGATTCTCCTTCCAGTCCCGAGCGAACAGGGCTTTCTCGAGCAAAGCGCTAAAGGAGCCAGGAAAAGCCATCCATCTCTCCTGGAGCAAACTCAAGCCGTGAGCGCTGATGGCTCTGTACGTTCAACGAGACCTCACGAAGGATAGGAAGACCTCAGGGGATCCTTGAGGTTTGCAGAAACAATAATTGTGAAAAGCTAAATAGGAAAAGAGAGAAAGAGAGAGGCACACTCTACAGAATAGCCTAAGGTGGACGGAGCTTCCATATAGCCTGAAGTGCCTGATCCTGCCTGATCTTGGAAGCTAAGCATGGTTGGGCCTGGCTGAAATTTGGATGGGTGATTTCAAATGTTGGAATCCACTCAGAGAGCTTTGGCTGCAGAGGGTATAGAAATGCAACGGAATAACAAATAAATAACACAGATGTTACCTATGAGTTGGAGAACAAGGAAAGGTGAAAGCAAAACGCAAAGGACTCGCTGGCAAGAACCCAGAACAGAAACATTGGTTCTTAGGATGGGTATAGGCACCCAGATGCCCTGGATTACAACCCCCATCAGAAAAGAAGCTGTAATGGAAGAGGTTCACCATGGACTTGGGAGGCAACAGCCCCCAACCCAATGGGACTCAGCCTTGACTACACATGCATATTCCTTTCGGTGCCAGGCTAAAACCCTTTTATTTTCCCATTATTTTAAGGCTTGAATATGTCTTAATTTTATTAAGTTTCATTTTACTGGAATTATTCAGATGCTGTGCTTCATTTCATTTTATTCTGTTTTTATCGTAAGACCATCCCGAGACTTTAGTAGTTGGGACAGTATATAAAAGCTTCAAATGAATAAATATAAATAAATAAGACACGGTGCTGTTCAACAAAGCGGGAGTTCTCAAGAGACCAAATGCAAAACAGTTGCGGATTGAATCATTAAGCAAACCTAGCCAGAAAAGGCAACCCAGGAAATTGTGCAGCATTTCCTGGGCTGACTCCATAAAACGAGCCAGATCCTGTCACCCAGCGCTGCATTTAGAAACAGAGCGAGTCAGAAGGGGCCTCCCGGGCCATCTAGTCTGACCCCCAGCTCTAACCAGCTCCGCACACGACATGCCCACCATGTGCACGTCCAGCCTATCCTTGAACATTTCCAGCATGCATTGTGTTCGATGCTGCAAAGACTCAGAGGAGCTGAGCTGCAGCTGCAGCGCAAGACTTACCCAAACAGGTCCGGCCGTCTGTGTGCAGGCGAAAGTTCAGCTTGCATTCGCAGTGGTACGAGCCCAGAGTGTCTACACACTTGTCCTGGCAGCCCCCGTTGTGAATCTCGCACTCGTCGACATCTGGAAAGGATGCAAGGGGGAGGGCATCGAATTAGCGAAATTCGGCATTTTCCGCAGGCTACATCCTCACCAGCGGAAGCATCACCACTTCTGATCGTCCCCTTGCGGGAAGCAGAGGGAGCGTTTCCACACAACCAACACTTCCCTGCAGCATTAGCAAAATCACATGTGACCTCCCAGATTCCTTAAACTTTTCGACATGTCAGATAGCATTATTATTTCTTCCGGCGCCAGGCATAACCCTTTTAATTTTCCCACTACTTTAATCTTCAATAGGTTTTAATGTGAGTTTTAAGGAAATCAACTCTGACTGTTCTTTAGAAGGTCAGGTACTGAAGCTGAAGTTCAGATACTTTGGCCACCAAATGAGCAGGAAGGACTCGCTGGAGGAGACCCTGATGCTGGGAACAATCAAAGGCAAAAGGAGGAGGGGACGGCAGAGGATGGGGTGGCTGGATGGGGTCACTGGGGCGGTGGGTGTGGGGTTGGGGGGACTCCAGGGGACAAAGAAGAAGGTCTTTGTGACAGCCTTTGAGACACTTATAGAGGAGAGGGATAAATATCCTGCATCCACTGGTCAGGTTCACACAATCCTCAAACACACCACAGTTAGGCTCCACACGATAACTACCTTTATGGTGCACAGGTTGATGTGCAACCCAAACCTGGCAAGGTGCACAGTGATAGCAACTTCCAGACCACCCCAGGACCCCACAACAAGCCCTGGGAACTGGGCTGGTGCTGGGCAAACTGAGTCCCCAAGTCCCCACGTCCCGATTTCACCAACCATTGATCCTGACCAACCATGGTTAGCTCCAACCTCCCAAGCACCATTGGCCAACCCAACTGCAGCTTCACTGTGGTTTGGAGGCATGGAACTTGCTTCCGCTTCTCCTGTGGATGCCACAGCAAACCATGGTCAACCTAAACCGGAAAGTGGAGCAGGGAAAGAGGAAAGTGTGGGAGGACTAAAAGGGGAGGCTTCCAGGAACCAGAACAGAAGCCTCACCTAAAATCTAGATGGAATTCCCCAAGCCTGCAAGGTCCAGGAGCTCCGGAAAGGAAAGGAAAGGAAAGGACAACAGCATTCTAAGCTTCATGCTCCAGCGAGATTCCATCATCCCCAAGAAGCCACCGGGCTCCTCCAGATGTGGTCCGGTTATAAACGTCCTTGGGACAGACTGCCAACAATTAAGCTTTGTCTGCTAGGGCTATTCACTTTCTTACAATTATCTAAGCCCTGCTTGTGGATGAGCGCATGACCTCTTCATCCATTTACTGCTCACGAGTTGTGGGGGAAATGAGTCAAGTCCCAGTTCACTGGAGAATGGGAAACAGATTTCTGAGCTATCCACGCATTATTCCAACACAAACCTGGGCGCATTTCTTCGCTTGTGACTGCAGATCACCGACACGCAGCCTAAGAGCCTGCACTCTCACCCTGCAGCTGTCTACGCTTCCTAGCAGCAGACCTCAGCCACACGGGGTAGCCGTGGAAAAGCTGCCGTGTGGGATGAACTGTCACAAAGTGAATGTATGAATATTGTTTAAAAGGACATCAGCAGCCCTGCTATTCTGCCAGCTCAATGCACTTGAACTGCTTCCTCTCGTTTGGTTTCATTTGAACGGTCAAATACAACCATCTCTTGGATCCATTCCAGTTGCAAAGCCATTTGCTTTGGGAAGAAAGGATGCTAAGCACATTTCCTACTTCTGAGAAACAATCCAAGTTTTCTGTCAGTCGGTCAGTCAGTCAGTCTTGCTTCCTTACTTCCTCCCTTCCTTCCTTCCTTCCTTCCAGCAACAATTCTAAATTTGTTTGCTTCTTATGTCTACAATTCACAAGCATCAGTCTGCAACGCAATCTCTAGCTTGGATGAAAAATACCATCTCTTACACTCACATTGAGCTGCAGGCGTCCACTTTCAGAGTATTTCCTCCAGTTATGGCTTTAGAGGAGACAACTCCACTGCTGAGGAATTTTAGCTGCACGCTAAGCTTTCAAAATTCTATCAACACAGTGATAAACTCAGCAGAGCAGAATGGATTTTGGCACACTTGAAATTTGCCATTCAAGCTTTCGGATGTGAAACTTCATCTCGAACCAGGAAATCAAGAGCAGGACAGGGTGGAACTTTCTGACTCAATGACTTTTTGTTCAAGGACAGGCTGGACACGCACATGGTGGGCATGTCGTGAGTGGAGCCGGCTGGAGCCGGGGGTCAGACTAGATGGCCCGGGAGACCCCTTCTGACTCGCGCTGTTTCTGTGTTTCTATGACTGTTTGGGCAGGGCTGCAGGTCATCCACTAAATGCAGTCCAAACTGAAACAGCATTAAGAACATAAGAAAGGCCATAATGGATCAGGCCAGGGGTCCATTGAGTCCAAAACTCTGTCCGCACGCTGGCCAACTAGATGCTCACAGGCAACCCAGAGCAGGTTGAAACACACTCAAACACTACCTGTCAGATACAAAACAGCCATGGGATGCCAACTAGTTAGTAAGTACAGGATTGAGAGAGTGTCCACACAGCAGTAGACAAAACTAAACTGCAGGGAAGAATTTGGAAGCAAATTCGTATAAGAAGCAAGGGGGTGCTCAAAGCAGTATGCTCAGCCTCTGAGACCTTGCTCCAATGCCACTTCCAAGGAAGGGCTGTGTGGTCGCTCAGAGGAGGAGAACCTTCTCCATGGGAGCCCCCAAATTATGGAATGATCACCCCTCTCAGCTCAATTTCCACCAACGTTATCTTTTCGGCACCAGGTTAAGACCACCCCCTTTGCCAAGGCATCTGCCAAATACCCGTTTGCCTATTCCTCTTGCCGAAGCTCGCCATTTGGTATTCAGGTATCAGCTCACAGGCCACTAGAGGGCGCAAAAACGGTCAGGCAACTTTGCTGGACGCGGCTGCTGGAATGGTTCTTTCTGCCGCGACTCGTTCTCTCTAGTTCTGCCATGACTAAGCTTACTCAGGAGGGGCAAGAGAGACCCCCACCAAAGTCAAATGGCCTATTGCTGTTCTTCACAGAGCAGCTGGTTCCAGTGGAGCCACGGATGCAGAGAATGAGACCCTTCCCATTTTGCTTGCAACCATGGTTTCAGCCGGAGACCCTTAGGACTTCCACTGGGCCCACGGGTTCTGTGCCAATTCTGTGCCACACTGGCCCTGTAGCCCTGCTCATCCAGGAGGGTAGAACCTGTCCGTCCCCCCCTTAAATGGTGCATCCATCTTTCCACCAAAGAACTCAGAGCAGCCGAGGCGAGGCTTCATCTCACAGCTCCGCACTGGCCACGCCTGCCCAAATCCATCGCTCACTTGTTCTCAGCCTGCCAACTTGATTGCACGCACAGAATGCCATCAACACTACCTACTTCAGGAGAAAGGACCAGCCGGCAGGTGTTTGAGAAGGAAGTGCTCCTCTGCACAGCATCTGGGGAATAAAACATGGCATCCTGGAGTTTTTGCTTTTGATTTGGACAACGGGCTCCAGCATCCCAGAACTGTCACTAAACTAAACCGAAACAATCCAAGAAAAAATCGGGTTTTGTGTGACTCATGAAGCTGCCTCCTACCAGGCCTTACTCTCTGGTCCAGTTAGCCCAGTATCAGCTGTTCCGACTTAGGAAGGCTCCCAGGGAGAAAGTACACCAGCCCCTGCATATACTGGGGGCTGAACCCAGCATGCAAACACTGTACTCCACCACGAAGCTCACCTTATTGGCAATACTACAGGTCAAACACGCACCACTTTGGCAGAGCCAGGATCAAACAACCCAAATCTTTGAGGAGGAGCCCAAAGTGGAGTGAGCAAGCTGCTCTGAGGAAGCGGGGGGTGGACATGATCTGAACCCCTCTTCCCTTCCATTCTCTGAAGCTGCTGTTTTTTCTGGGCTGGAAAATGTACAAGTGCAGTGTAGAAAAACTGCACAAAATGTACAGAAACTTGTATTTCACCCACCACCACGAAAAGCATCTGCCCCAATGAACACTGAATCCTTCCAAGTCCAGCTGTTTAAAAAGTTTTAAAACTTAGGTGAACCTAAGTCTGGATCAAAGGCGTGGATCAGTTTGGGGTGACGGCTTATACAAGGGTCAAGCGTAATGCTAAACAAAGAGTTTGCCAGTCTTGATTGTGTAAGAGCTACTCACAACTGGGACTGACAAAGCGTGGATTGGATGGTTCATCTCTCCCTGAAACCTTTAATCATCCATCCCTCAAGAAACCTTAAAATCAAGAAACCTTTAATCATTCAACAGGAAAAGCTCTGTCCAGGGAAGACCGAAGAAATTAAAAATGGCTTAGCTTCATTCCGATATGGACAAGCCGGTTTATGTCTCATTCCCTGATTGTGGAAGACAGGAAATATTCCCACCATCCCCATAATAAAATACACTCTAGTGACAAGAACACAACACATCTGACTATGTACATTCTTAACCCTCCAGTCCAAAGAGTCATTTCTGCTCCTGGGTTGCTTTTAATGTATATTCACAAACTTTAAGGTTACACATACACAATTCATGTCACACATAATTTTATCCAGGAGAGACGTTTCTGCTGGGTGTGTGTGTGTGTGTGTGTGTGTGTGTGTGTGTGTGTGAAGAACCTTTCATGGACCAATAGAGATGTGATGCATTTTGCAAATGCTTGATCCTGGTTACAGAAATAAAACCCACTGAGAATCCCCTTTCAATGCAGCGTCTACACTGCAACAGCATTCCACTGAAATGCAAACTGTATACCAGGAAAAAGCAACTCCAAAGGCTGTTGGACTGCAATTCCCATTATGCCTCTTCATTGGCTATGCTGCATAAGGCTAATGGGTCTTGCAATCCAACAAAATACGGAGTTCATGGACTGCATCCATACAGCAGTCCAACAACTTGTTACAGTGGGAAAGTCTGTGCATTGTTGTGCCATGTTTTTTTAAACGTTGATAATGTGAATTGTGCATGCATATAGAATTCTGCCTTTGTAGCACAATTGTGTGCCCCACACACTCACTCAGACTTTCTAAAACCTCGTTAAAGCAGCAAACACTCCTAAAAACCAGGCTTCTGCTCTCCCAGTTGCTACAAACTGGGCACTTGCTGGCTACATTCATGGCAAAAGAAGGACCAGAAACAACCGGGCTTCAGCAGGAAGGAAATGTTGCTGTTTGGGATCGAGACCACTATACCTGCCTTCCTTAAACTCTCGGGTTTCTCTGAAAACCAACTCTGCATTTCCATACACATTGAAACCTGGGGAAAGCGCGTGTCGTTCATAAAAAGCCGGAGATAGGGCCACACATGACAGAGAGAAACCAGACTCTCCCACCTTCCCATCCAAACTCTGTGTATTCTCTTTGCTCAACACTGGAAAAGTGAAGAAGCACCAACTGACAAATGATTCTAAAAAAGATCTTGGACTGTGCAGAAATGGATAGATTGACTTTATCACTGAAGGAGAAAGAAGATACTGACTTCTATCAAACTTGGGACTCTTTTTATTATTGGCTAGAGAAACGGGACTTCGCATAGATTTAAATATGCTTTTAAGTTATCATAAATAGAAGGAAAAGATCTGGGGGCTGACCTAGCAGGCCTGATGTTTTTGATGATTGTTGTTTTTAGTTTTTCTTTGTTTTTAGGATTATAATTTCAAATAAAACTTATGACCAAAAAAAAAAACTCCATGTATTCTGTTTCGTCCAGCAGTTTCCCCTCTTGGGCAGCTCAACCCACTTTCAAAATTATAACTGGATTGGAGGCCTGGAAGGTTTCCCAAGTTTTGAGGCTATTTCAATGGCAGAGGTTACTTTGTTTTGGTTTTTTTCTTTTAAATCTAATTCCTCAGTTCCTCAGGTACTTTTACCTTGACTGAGGCAAAACTGATGAACTTAAACCAATAATACCAGCTGACCGCCACTTCTTCCCAAAACGCACCTGCCCTTGCAGTCACATGGCTTCATTTCGATTAACCTTTTGGCTACTGATCTTCACCTGCCACAGGTTGTTCTACCTCTCAGGGTTCTCAATTGAGCAGGGACTGGACTAGAAGGCCTTTTAGGGTCCCCCAGTTTGAGGGTTCGCTGCTGTATCACCTCATGATTGTGAACACATACCGGCCTCCTCTTTGCCGTTGCTATTACAGGTCATCAAGTCATCTCTGGCTTACAATGACCCAATGAAGGAAAGCCCTCCAAAAGACCTCCTGTCCACCCCCGCCCCTGTCAACAGCCTTCTGTTGCACCCAATCAAAAAACCTGCATTTTTGCAAGTTAAGGATTTGGTTCCCAAAAGCCTAAAATTTAAAAAAATCCATTTGCTTCCTATATGGATACAGCATTTATTTCTCGTTTCTGAAGGATAAGGATGACATTTTCTAAACTAAGCGGCTTGGGACCAGGATGCCTAGAGGAACATCTCCTTCCTTATACACCCTCATGCCCCTTAGGATCTGCAGGAGAGGCCCTGCTCCAGGAACCCTCCTTGAAGGAGGTAAAGAGGATGTCTACTCAGAGTAGGGCCTTCTCTGCGGTGGCGCCCAGATTGTGGAATGCGCTCCCCAGAGAGGCTCACCTGGTGCCAAGCTTATACTCTTTTCAGCACCAGGTCAAAACCCTTTTATTTAAGTGCTATTTTAAAAGTTAATAGTTTTAATGATTCCAGTCACTTTTGCTTTTTCTATTTTGATTTAATTGATTGATTTGATGTCACTGTTTTAATCACTAGATGTTTTAAATTGTTTTTAAATTGCTGTAAGCCATCCTGAGATATTTATATAAAAGACGGCATACAAAAGCTTTTAATAAATAATAAAAAAATAGTAAACTCCAGCACTCTTACTATTGGTATGCAAAATCTTTTTTTTTTTTTCATTTAAATTCCTCAATCTTTGCCAGCCATAAAACTGCGGTGAACTGGAGATGCGTACTAGAGCATCAGCCAAAGGACAGGCATTGGATTACCTTGACAGGATTTCCCATCATCCTTCAACTTCGACCCTTCAGGACACTTGCAGTAAAAACTTCCAAAGGTGTTACAGCACTGGGACTCACAGCCGGCATTTCCAAATTCACATTCGTTCACATCTGTGAGTGCAGAAAAATGTTTAAAAGTGTGAGGGTTTCTGAGTGCAGTGCGGCTATCTATCATTAGCCTTCCATCTGCTTTCTGAGCTGCTTAAAACTTTGGGGGGCCCAGTCTGTTTCGACACGTCACAACAAATTCCATCACAAGCACTCAGAAAACTGTTTTTCCCAGCCTTGCAAAACAACGCTGTTAATATCCAATTTGAGCTGGTTAACGTCCTTCACAAACCTCTTTTAACTGGTCCTTGTGCTGCTAACCAATTCTCTCTCTGTCTCTTATGCAGACAAACACACACAATGAACAACCCTTAATGCTTACCACAAAAAAATGCTTCTCTGCAAACCTTTAGAACTATTCAGAGAGCTGTAAAGTATTCCAATGTTATTCCAGCCACATAACCTGGTCCCGAGATATATTTGTTTAGGGAGTGTAGGAAAAGGAGCACTCTATGGGAGACACCACGCTCTTGGAGGCGGAAGGAGAGGAAGAAAATGCAGAAACACAGTATTTGGGTGTGTGTTCTTAAACAAGCTTTGCAATGTTTAAAAATCCAACCGATGCTTTGGGAGTTCACGAAGAGCATCAGACAGCATATGTTATATCCAGACTGGGCAGCTCAGACTGCAAAGATCCTTTTTTCTTTCTGCAGCTGAGGAATGAAATATATGTGGGCACAAAGCAATGCAACCTACTGGTCATTTTAAAGCTGCTTTAAGTCCAATAGGCAGTTTCCCTGAGGACATGCACATGGTAGGCATGTCCTGAGCGGAGCCGGCTGGAGCCGGGAGTCAGACTAGATGGCCCAAGAGGCCCCTTCTGACTCGCTCTAGAATCATAGAAGAGTTGGAAGGGGCCATGAAGGCCATCAAGTCCAACCCCCTGCTGTAGCAGGACACCAAGTCAAACCATCCCAGTCAGGTGGCTGTCCAGGTTCTCCCTGAATGTCTCTGGTGTGGGAGAGCCCCCACCTCTCCAGGCAGCTGGTTCCACTGCTGTATTGCTCCGACAGTGAGGAAGCTTTTCCTGATGCCCAGCCTGAATCTGGGTTGCCGTCACTTGAATTATTTTGAGTCCTACATTCTGGCATTAGTAAGAAAAGATCTTGGCCTTCCTCTTTGTGACAGCCTTGGAGGTACTTACAGAGGGATCTCATGTCCCCCCTCAGCCTTCTCCTCTCTAGGCTGAACATGCCCAGTTCCCTCAGTCTCTCCTCATGGGCAGTGTTTCCAAACCCTGGATCGTTTCTGTTGCCCTCTGCTGGACCCTTTCTAACTTACCTGCATCTTTCTCAAACCTTGGTGCCCAGCACTGGACACAGTGTTCCAGGTGAGGTCTGACCAGTGAGGAGTAGAGAGGAACTATGTTTCTGTGTTTCCTACGCTCTTTCCCAGTCCATGTCTCTGGCCTGAAGTTGGTCTTCTCTCACAAAACCATAGATTCCAAGGGTTCTTCCTTAGCCGGTTCCAAGAAAAAAGGGGTCCGTGTCCAATGTAGGACGAATGGGAGGGTCAGGTAGGAAGGTCAGCATGAGGGACTGAGGGGCAGACGCCTAATTAAAGCCCGACAAATCCATGGCGTGGAACATCATTGGAGGGAGCCACCTTTCTGCTATTAGTTCTGCACGTGATAATTATAACGCTGGATGGACAGGAACTGGGCGACCAAAGAGCAGGGAGAAGCAGTGGCAGCTTGGACAAGAGCTTGGGAGGAAGCGCACCAGGCAGGGTGTGGGAGGGACCAAGAAGGCGCCAACACCTCCCTGGTTGCGGATCGTGGCCAAACCATTGATAAATACTAGGGTGGTGGTTTTCCACCTCTGCTCTGTGGACTGGCACTGATCCGCAGATTTCCTGCTGGTCCATGGGGGCAGGGGACACATCCAGCTCCCCATGGGCCAGCTCAGGGGCTGGCTGAGCTCCACCACCTCTTCCTCGGTTGCCATCGTGTCAGCGGCAGGTGTGCCGCCAGGGGGACCAGGGAGGTGAGACGGCTCCGTGGGAGCCACGCCACACCAATTTCAGCATTTTGGTCTTTGGTCGGCATTTTTTGTTGCTCGGTTTCTGGTTTTGGAGCATTTCCATTTTGTTGGTATTGTCTTTGGAAACTAATGCACAGAATACTGTATTCTGTGGGTGGTGCTTTTGTTTCTGCCTCAGTGGTCCCCAAGGTGGCTTTCCTGCTTTCACCTGTCCCGAGCTTTGGAAAGGCTGAAAACCACTGTGCTAGGGAATTCTCAGCTCAGGTGTCCTGGAGTTCTGAAGGCAAGGCGGAAATAGTTAAACAGGTATAGATTTTCCAGCTGCATAAGTCCATGCAGCCCCATGAGGCTGCTGCAAAGGATGGCATATAAATGTTTTAATTAAAGTAAAATTAATTAAAGTTTCCATATTCCTCTTTTAGAAAATGTGTAGATGAATGTGGAAACAGGGCTGTGTGGACATATGAGGGAATACATATACAAAACAATACGAATCAGAAAGAACTTCTCGGTCCTTCTCTACTCATGAATTAGGCTAAATACAGGAAGATGAGATTAAATATTGAGACGGCAGGAGGTTGGGAAAGTGGGAAGCATCTTCAAATGTTTTCCTTGCTGTTGTTCACAACAATGATACATAATAAAAGTGGTAGTTGGAAGTAGAAATTAGGCTGGATCAGATTATTTCTTCCAGATTCAATCGACCTGCAGGAAATCTTTTAGGTATAGGAAGCAGTCAAGACCGCAAGACCCTTTCTTGAGGCCTGACGTGGTACAGTCCACTCAGGATTCTACCACATCCATTGGCTGCACATGTCAGCCCAGCTTTTGCCAGGCCTGGCGAAAAGAAAGATGGCCATCCCTTAGAGCGGAGGCGGCACACAGATGAATTTTCAGCAAATTTGAAGTAAATGACTCACCATACTGGCAACAGGATCCCTGGAAACCCGAAGGGCAGGAGCAGATCTGCGATGAATCTCCTACAGATTTGCCTCCGTTGAAACACACCCCAGAACTGCAGGCAGCTAAAAAGAAGGGCAAAAGGGCCAAACCATCGCACAAGACTGAGACGCACCAGCCAGAGGCCTGCAAAATCTGGTGGGGAAACAGAAGGGAAGCTCATTCTTTACAAAACTGCCCTCTGGGTCTTTTCGTGGATAAACCAGGGCTGGCACCCACAGAGGTTCTACCAACCACTGGAGAGCTTTCCTCCAGCAAAGGGTGGTCAACGTCACTTTGACTTCCTACATACTACAGCCATCAAGAAATGCACAGCTTGGGAGCGCCCCTCGACCCGGAGCTGTCCCTGGAATCCCAAGTGGTGTCGGTGGCGAGCAGCGCGGTCCTTCAGCTTCGGCTGATCCATCAACTGTGCCCCTATCTGGATGGGCAGGGCCTGGCAGCGGTGACCCAGGCCCTGGTAAGTTCCTGACTGGACTACTGCAATGCGCTCTACATGGGGCTGCCCTTGAAGACAGTCTGGATACTTCAATTGGTTCAGAACAGAGCTGCCAGGTTGTTAACAGGGACTGGCAGGTATGAACACATAACGCCAGTCCTTTACCACCTACACTGGCTTCCAGTTGAAGTCCGGGCCCAGTTAAAGGTGCTGGTGATGACAGCAGCTTAGGGCCTGGTTACCTGAAGGAGCGTCTCCTTCCATACGTGCCTGCCCGCCCCTTAAGATCCGGGGCAGAGGCCCTACTCCAGGAGCCCTCCCTGAAGGAGATTATGAAGGGCCTTCTCTGTGGTGAAGAAGGGCCTTCTCTGTGGTGGCGCCCCGATTGTGGAATTCTCTCCCTAGAGAGGTGTGTCTGGCAAATGAAATATGTGTAACAGCAAGGAGCCATGCATAAAAACACGGCAGGTTGCTGGAAGCTAGAGGTGTGTGTGTCAGGCTTCCACAGATAAACAAAGTTCCAGCAGAATGAGGTCAAAGCCAAGGGAAACAAGCCAAGATTGACCCGAACAGCCCCCTGAGGTTTAACTACTGAGCTCTGAGAACAACCTGCTGCAAAGGCAGAGAAGATGCAAGCAGGAAGGAGATCCTCTGTAGGATCAACAGCAACCCAGGGAAGAACGGAAGACGTTGAGGGCCCTATGGAGGTCACTGGTCCAGGAGGCCGTGAGGGAAAGGACCGCAATGCGGGGAACAGAAGGGCCCCAGACCTGCAAAGCTGCCAAGATAAAGCAATGCTTGGCAGATTGGCGATGAACCTGGTGGCGAGGGCAGGAGTCAAGAAGCGCTCCATGGCCACGCACGGCGTCCCAAGCGAAGCTCTGCTGGATCCAGGTTGGAACCCGCAGCAAAGGCTTCCAGCGAGCCAAGGAGGACGTGATTCATCTGTTCGGTTCTGCTCTCTCAGCCTGAGGGTTTAGTCCTTCCCCTGAACACCGCGAGAAGCGGCCGCAGATCCAAGCTTCGCAGATCATGGGCCAGTAACACCAAGCAGCCAAGGATATGCGAGCAGCAGGAAAAGCCCCCTTGTGGATCCATAATTCACGACGTGTCTCATGACAAGAGATGGTGGGCATGTCATGAGCGGAGTCAGCTGGAGCCGGGGGTCAGACTAGATGGCCCAGGAGACCCCTTCTGACTCGCTCTGTCTCTCTGTTTCATTTCTCAGGGAAGCATCAATTTTGCCACTGTTTTACTCATTTTACCATGCTGAAACTACCCCCATCGATTTTAAAGGGGGAACCTGGGTGACTTCCATGTTTTCTATTTCATCAAGATGAAATCTTCAAGTATTTTACTTATGTATTTATTTAATTTTTATCCTGCCCATTAACCAGGACGGGCTGTCTGGATAGTCCAATGCTGATATAATGGATCGAATTTGCCAAATTTCAGAGGGATGAAAACAAAGGTGTGTTTAAATATGGCAGGTAAAAAGCAGAACAGGCTAAGTGCCATTTTAAAAATGGAGGGCACCTGGGTTAAACGAGAGCAGATCAAACCAACCATGTGCGTATTTTGACCTCGTTTGTTTCAACATTTGTTTCAAGTTAAGACACAAAGAGAAGGGGCCCTTTCTGCGCCTCCCTCCAATTCTCTCTTTATAATTACATTTTATATCTATATTAGCTGCTTAAGCAGGTCCCAAGATATACCTTGTCCTAGTTATTGGAGTGTTTGTATGTGTTCTAAATCTGGTTTTGAATTTTGTATGGCGACATTCTTACGGTGTTTTATACTGTGGTGCATTTTATACTGCATTGTTAATGTGTTGTTTTATTCAACTTCAACGCTTTGGCTCTTGGGTGGTGAATAAGTGGAATGAACAAATAAAAAACTGCATTATAAAACACATTTTACAGTCCACATTTTACAAGACTAGTCAATATTTCAGCATATGTCACTCGGTATAATGAATGTTTCTATTTGATGATTTTTCATAAAATACTTTTTTGTTACCATTAAATGGAATTCTATTATACCCATACCTCTTCTCTTTAAATCTTACAATGGCTTCATCTGCCTTATACCTTCACTGTTTTATGACGACTTTGGGTCAGTCCCTGACTCTCAATCTAACCTACCTCACAGGGTTGTTGTTTGAGAAGAAGATTGTGGAGGGCAGAAAACTTCTGTTAGCTGCTTTGAGTCCCTTGAAGGAAAAACGGGTTATGGGTATAACATATTCAAATATTTCCCAGGCATGCCCCCAGGGTGTGTCTGAATCCTTAAAGAAAACTATTGCACAAACACACGCGCTGATGAATGCAGACCTTCTCCAATGCACAAGCACCTACTTACAATAAAAGCAGCCGGTGTCCTCTCCGCGCTGAGCCCACCCTGGGCAGCATGCGTGCACCGTCTGGTACCGCAAGCGGTTGACCTGCCTGCGCTCCACACGGTAGACCGTCCTGAAAGAGAACCCGGGAACCAGCCGGTCAGCTCACGCCGAGCAGCCACTGGAAGAGGGCTTGCAGGCGGACCTCAGAGGCAAAGCCTTAAACTGGGCATGCAAGGAGAGGCTGTGGGCAGGAACCTGCAGCAGAGTATTTCCAACTGGGACTTTCCTGCTGGGGGAGCCAGACTGCCCCCCCCCCCCCGAAGACTTCACTCCATTTCCCTTCATTCCGGTTTCCCATCCCCTTCCTATTCAGCCGGCATTCTTGGCCCACGTCTCACGGCATCCTTGGCCCATGTCTCATGCATGCTGAGTTCTCACTTTAAATATTGCTAAAGAAGAAACTGAGACAGAGAAAGGAATGAGAAAGAGGCGATAAAAGGCCCACATTCTGAGCTTAATGCAAGTCTCCAGCTCAGACCTTGGCTGCATGTCTTCAGCCCATTCAGGACTAAGTTTGGGGGGCTTCGTTACTACTTTTTATCCCCCCCGCCCAGCTTCCACAAGCAAGCAAACCACCTTGCACAGTGTGTCTGTGTGCCTGGGAGTGCGAGAGAGAGAAAGCTTGAAAGTTCTCGCAAATTAACCCTTTTCGAAAATGGCGCCCTCCAGATGATCCGCCCTTCGGCTGCCACCTGCCCCAGCAAGCACAGCCAACAGCCAGGAATACAGGGAGGATGCTGGGCAGGGGAGGGCTGGCCTCGTCGGGGGCAGCAGAAGCATTACGGGGAAACAGCCCGGTATTTTGGCCCCATCCCCTTTGCCTTCAGCTCCACCCACCCCCGGAAGTGGCCCGAGATGGAAATTGGCCTTGGGGACCCTCACCTTGCCGAGTTTCCAAGTCGAAGCCACTGAATAAGCCAGAAAGAGACAGAGCAAGCGCACAAACCTCCACGTGTAGCTCAGGCACCACGGCTGCCTCCCACAGCTGGGCTTCCACACTCTGACCAGGCGGGTGGAGGCGTGGATGCAGGGGTGCTGCTGGCTGACCACCAAGAGCTCGCGATGCGCACAAACGTTCGGCCTGGTTGAGGGGGAAACGCAAGGAAGACAGGCGGGTATGTTTTCTTCCAGTGAAGCCGTAATAATCGCAGAGGCGCTGCTCTGGGTAAGCGAGAGCATCTTGGCACGCTCGTTTCAAAGCCCTTCAGACACAGGCGTATAACCCTCAACGCCCAGCTTAGGACAGCGGTTTAGTTTGCTTCCAGTGAAAGTGCTGCGCTTGTCAAAATAAAGCCTTCTATAAAACCAATAACATTATAAGCTGATGCAACGTGAGTGGAATAACTCGAATGGCTATTCTACATCCGGAGGTGAACATTCACCTTCCTTTCTGCAGGAAACCACCACAAGGTCATCCATATGAGAGCCAGTGTGGTGTAGTGGTTAAAAGCATGGGACTGGGACTCAGGCGATCTGGGTTCTAGTCCCCGCTCGACCATGGAGCCAACTGGGTGACTTTGGGCCAGTCACAGACTCTCAGCCCAACCTACCTCACAGGGTGGTTGTTGTGGGGATAAGATGGAGGAGGAGAGATGATGTAAGCTGCCTTGAGCCCTTTGTAGGAAAAAGGCAGGATATAAATAGCAATATAAATAAATAAATAAAATATGTAGTAGCTCGTATCTCACAGTTGTTTTAAGTGTCAGAAAAGCTGTGGCGACAGCCCTGAAAGAGCTGAGAGTGGTGGCTTCTGCCAGCCGCTGCCAACTGCTCCTTGGGTACTTTTCGGGCAGCGGACCATGGATGATCACCCATCAGCCACTGGGTACAGATGAAAAGACTTCCGGCATCCTCGCCAAGTGGCTTGCCCATAGATGTAGTTCACCCATCATGGGTTATGTTGCCCAAGTATGGATGTCATGAGAACGCATCATGGCTGAAACAACTCCAAGGGTTGTCAACTGGCTTATAATCCCAATTTAAGCCAGTATGACAAATTCCTGAGGGTTTGTACAAGAGGCTGCCCACAGTGGGCTCTCCTATTTTTAAGAAGCCAGTCAATTTTCTGTCCTCTGATAAGCTTTGTCTTCTCTGAGTTTGTTCTAACTGATCTGCATCATTCTTAAAGTGTGGTCTTCAGAAACAGATGGCCAAAATCAAGGTAAGTTCTGACCGACAGAGCTGAGAGAGCTATGAATTATCATGTTGCAGGAGTCATACTTCTAATTAATGCAACCTAAAATTATCCAGATGTTTTCGAGTCTTCAGTTCCCAGAGACCCCCACCAACATAGCCAATGGTCAGAAAAGTCAGGAGTTGAAGTACAAACCATTTGGAGATCTCCATTATGCCCACCCATCTGCGCATGGAGAAATGAGAGCATACCCTGGGTTCCATTTTGGAAGAAGGCTTCTTTGCAAATCTTTAAAACCATTAGTCAGTGCTAGTTGGAAAAGACAGAAGAAAAGCACTAAGAATGAGACAAACCTGGGCAGACGGACTGACACAAACGCTTTTTAAAGTAACAGCCACACCAAGCACGGATGATTTTCTGCAGTGTGAGAAAAGATGGAGGAACTAAGAAAAAGCAGAGAGAGAAAGAGGGTGCCATCATGCAGATGTCCAGAGAAAAGCAACCGAATACAGTGTGGTTATTGTGCAGGAGGGATATTGTCCGGATGCAACCTGAGGAAGAGAAGTGCCCAGTACAATACCAGAATCTGAGGGACATCTACTGAAGCAACTGGCTAGATATTTGCTGTGCCCCATGACCCAGCCACGCCTGGCTGGCCAAGCAAAGGCAAAAAATTGGAAAGAGGCCAGAGCTCCCCTTTCAGTAGCCCACATCTCTCCGGTCCTCACCTCCCCGCGTTGTCCTGATGCCTGCAGGAAGCTTTTGCTTGTGTTCAGTTTCATTCCTGCCTGTAGAAGTACAGATGACAACTGTGCTCCTGCAGGTCAGGGTATATACAATAACCAAGGAAGAGTCCCCTGTGACTTTGATGGGTCTTACTTCCAGCTCAGTGTGCGCAGAATCGTAGGAATTCGGGCTGCTCCATTCAACAGCGCTGTTCTCAAAATCGCTTAGCCTGATTTCTCCCTGCCTGGAGCAGCGTATTAAGTTTTACCAGGACAAGAGCAAAAGAGAGAGAGCGTGGTAGACCGAATCCCTTTGGCAGAAGCTTTCCAGGAACATAAATGCACACTGTAGCCCCCCCCCCCCCACCCCGCCCCATGCGCTGTTGCAGTGGGGCTAACAACATATGGAAAAGATGGTTTGGGTTTAGCCGTGGCTCCGCGTACAAAGAAAACCAGAGTTCCCGAGTCAAGAATGCTTCTTCTGGCAGGGACTCAAACATGTAAGTAAAAGCTATCCAAGCATCTGTACAGAAGGTCCACCTGGGGCCATTTTACAGCTTAAAACACATTCTCCTTAGCAGGAAGAAGTGAGAGGAAAATAGGAAGGTGACAGCACCGCTATAAAAAATGAGTAATCCTTTAATCTAAATAATGTTAGCCATTTTTTCCTTTCTAGGCTCCTAAGCCTGAGGCCCTAAGAAACACAGAAACGAAGTGAGGCAGAAGGGGCCTTCCAGGCCATCTAGTCTGACCCCCGGCTCCAGCCGGCTCCACTCATGGAATACCCAACATGTGGCTGTCAAACCTTTCCTTGAACGCCCTCATTGATGGGGCCTCCACCACCTCCCTTGGAAGCCCATTCCATCTCCAGGGGTCCTAACCATCAGGGAGTTCTTCCTGACATCCAGCCTGAAGCCCGGTGCCTTGAGCTTTGGCCCACTGGAATGCATCCTGCCCTTCACTGCAGGGAATAACGGGTCAACCTCCTTCACATGACCTCCCCTCACATGTCTATAAGTTGCTAAGTGATCCCCTCGGAGTCTCCTCTTCTCCAGGCTGGAAAGACCCAGCTCCCTCAACAGGAAGAGAAATGGGCGGAGTATTTCCTCCCTTTTTCCACCTGCCCAGGGGAAGCTGCACCCACAGAACTTCTCTCTGCTTGTTCAGCTTTTGATAGGAACCCAGTAGCCTGGCAGGATACACTGCCAACAACCTTGGAAACCATCACACTAAGCTTCTAATGTGGGGCTTCTGAGGGGTCCGAGTGCTTCAAACAACATTATCTCAAAAATTCTACTTGCCTAAACCACTTAGTGATCCACACCAGAGACCAAGTTTGGAATCCAGAACTTCCTGCCTCAAAGGAAGTCAGCCCACCTTACAATGAGTTGGTTCACACAATCGCCATGGTGGATTGTGGCTTATTTAAGTCACAGTGGAGCTGTGGCACAAACAGCCATTTTGAATATTCAGACCCACGGTTAGTCATGTCCTCTGAACCCAGGTGGCAAGGGATCTTAAGCTTCTCCAGAATAAGGCCTGGTCTGTTGTAGGCTTATCTGAGGGTTGTTTAATCCTCAGACAACCCTTCCCATCCAGGTTTGGGTGGCATGACAAATCACATCCACTACCCACCCCCAGCTGCAGCTGAATATTCAAAATATTGAGAGCCAGTGTGGTGTGATGCTTAAAAGCACAGGATTGAGACTCAGGCAATCTGGATTCTAGGCCCTGCTCAGCCATGTTGCTCACAGGGTGACCCTGGGCCAGTCATAGATTCTCAGCCCAGCCTACCTCACAGGGTTGTTGCGGTGGGGGTCAGATTGAGAGCAAGAAGGGGAGAGAATGATGTAAACAGTGTTGAGTTTATTCTAAGAAAAAAAAGGCTGGGTATAAGTCTAACAAATAAATAATCAAGCAGCACCCCCCCACCATGGCTTAAATAAGCCGTAAGAGGCAGCAGCAATCTTGTGAACCCCAGTACCTATTCTGCTTCCATTGCAGTTCTGTTCTACCTTTTCTCCCATCTTCTAAAGGACCCCAGGCAGACACAACAGCCACCCTGTGAGGTGGGTTGGGCTGAGCTCCACAGCCTCAAATCCAAGTCTCCAGGACCCCCTCCCTCCCCCGTTCAGTCCTCTAACCACCAAACCACACTGGCTCTCGAGCAGACGCAGCATTTGCCTCGCAAGAGGTTTGCTGCCATTTCCTAATCTAAACTAAAACCTAGTTTAGGGCTTTAAGTCTATGCTGGCTTAGGCCGACCTAACTGCTAACATTCCCAGCTGAGCTGGTTGGCGGAGCGCGTGGGGGAGCCTTTCCCGAACGAGCAGGGAAGTACCCTTCATCAGACTTACATGCTGGGTACCAGCTGCCTCCCGCGGGCATCCAAGAGCAGATTTAGGACAAGGATCCGCCAGACATACACGCGGACCTCCATCGCTTTCTTCCGCGGTCCTAGCAGCCGCTCACACGCCGTCGCTGTCCCGGCAAGCCGTGGCGCTTTGGAGGAGGAAGGCGCATCGCCTCGACAGGGCCAGCCGGCGCTTTTGTCTCCGCGGCAGCCTCGCTCCTTGGGAACTCAGAGTTTGGACGGTGGGGTGGCCCCTCTCGCCGGAGGCGTCCTGGGCTCGGCGCAAGCGGGGCGCCTCTCCGGCTCTCCGCCCGCGCTCAGGCTTCTGGGCCCCGGGAAACCGGCTCGGGGCGCCTCAGCGCTCCGCGTCTCCGGCTTCGCCTTGGGCGCAACGGCCGTGCGCGCTCAGCAGCGGCGCCGCGCCAGGCTTGCCGCGAGCAGGGAAACGCAGCCGGGCGCAGCGGCGCGACGCAACTCGGGGCCCGCGTTCCTGCGCGCAAGGCGAGCGCCCCCGTCCCCTCGTCGGCGAAGAGGCTGCCTCCCCCCCTCCCTCCGCGCATAGCGCTGCCCTCGGAGCCGGGGCAAACCTCGCGGAAAGTCCTGCCTCCACCCGCCAGGTTTGGAGGAGGAGGAGAGGAGGAGGAGGAGGCGGAGGAGGGAGCGAGCTGGCTGGAAAGAGCAGCAGGAACGGTTTGGCTGCAGCCAATTAATCGCCGAGCAGCATCCACGTCCCGCATGAGGCCGAGCGTGCGCGCTCGCCGCAGCGCAGCGCCCGCGGAGAAGGTGGCCCGCGGCGAGCGCCGGATCCGGGCGCCCCCGAGTGCGCGAGGGGCGTGCGCGCTTCAGGTCGCAGCCCTTGCGATGCGAGGCGGTGGGACCGTCGCCGGGCGCGGGCACGCGAGGTTGCAGCCGCCGGGTTCGGCGTGCTTACTCAGGAGGAAGCGCACTGAGTGCAATGCTTACTCAGGAGGAAGCGTGCCGAGTGCAACGCTACTTGCTCCTGGACAAGTGTCCCTTGGAGCGGAGACACTGTTCTAGAAGGAATTTGGGGCTGCGGTTGCTGAAGGCTGATAACAGACGCGCAAAGCCAGGGACAGCAGTTCTGGTTTTTTCCAAAAGCCATATTCCAAAAGGCATCAATCCAGGGCCAAGCTAGAGTATTATTATATTCAAACTCCACCTTTCTTCCTCTTCCAGGAGCCCAAAGCAGCGCACAAGGTTCAATTCATCTTCACAGCAACCTTGTGAGGAAGGCTGCGGGTGGCACGAAGTCACCCAGTAAACTCCATGTCCCAGTGAACAACAGACTCCAAACCCCGAGTCTCAGACCAGTGCTCCAGCCACTACCTGGCTCTCTGAAAAAATGAAAGCATAATGAAGAGAGAAACAAGTGAAATACAATGCAGTGGTGCCAAAGTATTTTTAAAAAGTAAACAGCAGCTCCCTAATCGAAACAGAGGGGAGGGGGTCTTTAACTCCTCCCCCCTGCAGTCCTGACCAGATTGGGGTGCACAACACCCCCCCCCCCAGGTCTTTTGCTGCTCTGGGTGAAGGCCACAGTGGTCTTCTCCTTATTCCAAGGCCACACAATGGACACTGGATGGAAAACACCTTCCACAAACAGTGACCTGTCCCATGATCAGGGCATCCCAGAACTAAGACTGAGGCTGAATTCCCACATCTTCTTCTGCTGTGTGTTTCTGTCGAGTCCACTTACCCGTTCGGCTACCATCGAGCTGGGAATGGCCAAGCACAAATGGGGACAGGACTCCTGGCGTTTTAAGGGTGGTGCAGAGGAGAGAAATCCAGCAGGCCCAGAAAATGCAGCCTGATGACGCAGCTGGCTAGCCTGTCCATTTCGCATCCGGTGCTCCTTAATTAAGGGGCCCTTACCTACAAGCGGGTACCCTAACCAGTCCTTGGGCACAGTCAGCTGGGGATTTTCAGGGAACTGAGCCAAAGTTTCCTTGGCTGGCATCTTTTCCACCCCAGCCTCGGCCGGCTTTCTTAGCCTTCCTGCTGATTCCAGTGGGCCTTCCCCCAAGAAACACAAAAGCCACTGTACAAGGGAGACTTACTTAAAAGTAAGAACTTCCTCAGAGTCAAGCAGTCATTTTAAAGCTGCAAAGCCCGG